AACCCGGCCTTCTTCCTGATGTAGTTTCTGAAGTAATTTGACTTCCTTGAGATCGGTGTTCAGCCACTGGACTCTCTTAACATTCTCAGCTCTGAGGAGAAGAACCTACAGAAAAGGAAATGTTTGTTTTTTGCTGAAGAAACTCCACAGACATCGCTTCCTATCACCTTCAGTTTACATTAACAAAACTCAAATGGACCAGCGTTGAAAAGAAAAGTCCAAACAAGTGGAATTAAATCAGAGTTAGACGAGAGGATTGTCTCTGAACTTTGACCTGAGATCTACTTTTTATCACACTGACTGAGGCGTCTATCCTCAGTCTGAGTAGACATGCGTGTCCAGGGTCGAGACTCGCCCCTGAAGTTGATGTTTTTTCAGGATGTTTACACCTGTCAGTTGTGTTTTTTGAGGAAGCAGGTGGTCAGTTTGACAACGAGGACGATCCTAAGGAGAGATGTCCAAACTGTCCATTTGTCTTAACCTCACTTTGTGTCTCCAGCGTCCTCAAACGCAGCTCGACAGCTGGGGATGCATCCGTGTGCCTCATCAAACTTTTCTCTGGACTACGGATCCTCGCTCAGCCACACGGACACTCATGAGCTTGTCCGTCTTTATTTTCATCTCTGCTCGCCCCTGACATCATCTTCGTCGCCGCCACGCTCCGACAGGCAGATCAAGTCACATCTCTCAGTCCGGTGCACCTGAAACTGAAACACTCTCCTTCCTCCTCCTCCTCCTCCACCTCTTCGTCTGCATCAATAACCTGCCATCAGCAGCCGCCACCACCTCTCAGAGCAGCATGTCACATGAATGTGACTGATGCCGTGATGATACCGATGGAGCTCAGACAAGATGGATATGGAGAGATTGAGCGCAGAACGCTACCCCCACCTGCCCCACCTTGTCACACAAACCCCTCAACGCTCGCTCCAACATCCTCAACCATCAAAAATATGATCCAAAGATCAAGAAAAGATACAAAATGATGAAGCAAAACAACCGATAACGTCTTTCCACTCTTCCTCTTCCATGGCAAAACCTGCTGCCTACATTACCCAGAATGCACTTGGACAGTCAGATTTGTTTTTGCTATGCTAACACAGCCTGGAAAAGCATGCTTATGTATAATATCAAATATAAAACATGCAGTAAAAAGTAACGGAGCAGAGTCGGTCAAACAGCGGACGTTATCAACAGGCCGTTGTCATGGAAACAGGACGGAAGTGCAGCGCTTCATGCAAACACTCCCGCGTGCAAAGCCAGCGCTTTTCTGCCTGGAAAAAGAACGCAAGGTGGACTTATTTAGGATATGGCTGTGTGCATCTTTGCAGATATGAAACTCAATGTCACTTAAAATGTAATGAAATCAAACCAGAAGTTATTTTTTTCTTTTTCCTATTCAATGCATTTCCATTTGATAATGTTCTCCGCCTGAGATGTTTTAAATTTGTCGGGGGGAGAGGGGGGCAAGGTTCATGGTTCCCAGACCTGATTCAAGTGACTGATGAGAAACGGTTTGAAAAAACACAAAGTGCAGAAACCTGCAGACAGTGTGCACCATCTGTGCCAGGAGCAGCGACATCCGTCCATATTTTCTGTCACGCGCACTCATTCACACACAGCCCCCCTTTCACACCCCACCCCCCCTGCAGATAATAGCTGAAAGTTGGACTCGACACGGATCAACATCACTCCTCCGCTGTCCCCCAATCAATACTGCCCCCTCCCTCCCCCCCCCACTCTTATTATCAGCACTAATCTATATCTCTTTGTCTCGTTTTCTTAAGAGTCACTTCCTTCAATCCCTCTCTTTTCTCCAAATTACATTAAGGACAATCCCGTGTTTGGAAGGTAACGAATGTAAAATGACCTACATCGGAATTAGACGCCGAGAAAGCAGGCCAGGACTGGAGCCAAAGGGCAGCAAGCGTCAGAAGAAAAGGAGTCGGGAAGAAAAGGAGAGGAGCGTCGATTGGAAGTTGATTGTGGAGATTTCACTTTTGCTGTCTTTTTTTTTTCTTTTGCACAAAAGCGTCAAAGAAAGAAGAAAGGAGGAGGGAGAGGGGGGGGGGCAAACACAAATATCAGAGAGTCCTTGCGGGCTTCTCTGTGTCCAAACAAAAACAAAAATGGCAGCGTTAATAAAAAAGCGATCACTAATGCTCGTCTCTGACACGAGGCCGCAGGCGTCGAAGGCGTAGAAACTGCGCCGGCATTCTTCAGCGAGCCTTGGTCTTTTGTGGGGCCATGTGTCACACTCAGAAACTTCCCATCCCGAAATGTACTCCCCTGATAAAGGCAGAATGGAGAGTGTGAGGCTTTTCATTTGGCAGGGCCATTAACAGGAAGCGCCTGAAAGGACTGGAAATGAACCCAGGTTTGCTCAGGCAGGGACGCCCTGCGCCTCTTCTGCTTCTTTTATTTTTTCCTTTCTTTATGTCGATTCTTCCGCCGCTGACCCGAAGCCGCTTCAGGCGCTGCACGGCCAGGCTGCAAGAAGAGCGCCGTTATTGTTGAAAACGACTAAAAAAACACCGACGAGCCGCCCTGTTGCACCTAGGGTCACACTTCATTGTCGCCATGAACCCACACTGGAGTTTATTCAGAGTCTATGTGGTTTACACTTTTGTACAGGAACCTTGTACACACGTTGTTTACCAACTACTCCCTCCTTTTCTGGTGTTTCTCTGCTTTCATTTAGTCCCTCTTAACATCCCAAACCATTCAAATTAGATCCTTTTTGTTTTTTGTTTTTTTACCAGAAATGGCTCTTATGATACGATGCGATACACTTTATTGTCTCCTTGGAATAAATAAATCTCTTCTCTCTCTAATTAGGAAAAACAAACAAGAATCCCTGTGTCAACATAGAAGCACGTACCGATGAAAACCACAAATAATGCACATTGCACATTTATCCACATTGCACAAATTCTGCTTAAAACAACTCAATAGGAGAAGAAGAACAGCCATGATGCTTTTGCACACCCTATACAGCCTCAAGAAACATTCTTCAAAATGTCCACCAAATATGACTTAAAAAGAACCCGCATGCTGCCTCAAGCTGCTGGTGTGATTTATTGAGCTTCTTCAGTGTTTAATAAAAAATTCACTTTGATTCAGTGCGACACAGAAACAATATAAAGAACAAATAGATGAAGTCACCTGCAGGGTAAAGTCACCTTTTTTTGTTTCGAGGGCCTGGTGGTTTTGAAGAGAGAAATTTATCAACTTTTTCTTGATTGTACCCATGATTAAGACCTCAATATATGCAGAAAATACAGGCGCTGATGGCCTAGCTGTGAGTCTGTCCCCCGTGTACAGAGGCTAAAGACCTCCAAGGGGGGCAACATGGGTTCTGTTCCGACATTTGGTTCCTCTCCCCCGTGTCCTAACATATCCACCATCCTATCCACACAAAGGCAAAAGACCATAAATGTGTCTAAAACAGTTATATGTGCTATGCAACTTTTGCACTTATGCACTTTTAGAAAATTTTGGAAGTTTCACTTTAGGGAGTTTGTTCAGATTTTATTTTACATTTTTTAACTTTTTTTTAACGATAAAGTTTAAATTGACTGAAGAATATAGATGATGCAATCGGTGTAAAACAGTAGCAGCAGTCTGTGACACATGTCAGGACATCCAGTTAAAAGTTTTAAAAGGCATTTTGACGGATTACAGAACGGATTAAATCTGTCGTCAGTCATGATGCACACAGCTTTGTAGATCGGAGTTAACATCATGAAGGAACAAAACTTTACTCTGGATGCACTTTAACAGAGTAAGAACGTCTTTTTCTCTCTTCAAACTTGAATCCTAATCTCCTGCTTCAGTTCTTCGATGTCGTGTCCTTCCTTCTTTCTCTCCCTGGCTGCTTTTCTTGTTGCTGTGAGTCACTTCTGTGAGTGTTTTCCTCACATGTCATCCATGTTGGCGAGTGTTTGTGTCAGCTGAGAGTTCTGACAGCTTCACAGAGGAGCCGTAGCCAACCGAGGTGGGAACTATTAACCACAGCGCTGAGAACTGACACTGCCAATGTCGTCTTTTCTGAGTGTATGTGTGTGTGTGTGTGTGTTTACACTTCAGTTCACTGCCGAGCTCAAACAGAGGCGTGATGATTGTGAATCATTTATGTGTCACCTCTTTAGCTGATGGGATCATGAACAGAAATCTGTGAAGTCATTCAGCGAACAAACTCTCTTACATTGCGGCACTTTTTAAAAAACTTTTTCTTCTTCGTCTTTCTTTTGTGTGTCCTTTCATTCTGCCAACATTGACGGAAAAATCACTGCCAAACACCTAAAATGCCTCTAAAGGAACCGTCTTCTGTCCTGTCGAGAGTCTGTCCTCTTGCTTACTGCTTTATGTGCTTGTTGATGCAGTTTTAAGAGCTTCTTCAGGAGGATCTGCCAGCTTTAGATGGTCAAATATGTTTGAATTTGTGAAAATTAGACCGAGTGCATGAGTTTTCCTGCAAATGTAGGTATTTAAAATCAAGAAATGACTGACTATTTGGGTGCTGAGGATTTTTTTTTTGAATGCCTGTGTATCAAAACAGGAATGGATATTGTTAGCTTTTGAAATTTGGTTATTGTGACAACTTTATTTTTTAAAGGCAGAGTTTGTAAATTCCACCACTAGGGGGCTCTTAAACAAAACATAAACAAAAAGATGACGTCGAGACTGGCGGGGAATCATGGGAGTGATTCTCTCTGCTGCTGCTCCCCCCCCATTTAAAAAGTTGCTAACACTTTAAATTAAGGTCACAATATTCACCATAACCTAGCTGCTTATTATCATGCTAATCAGTAGAATACTGGATGCTTATTAATGTTTTTCTTGTGTATGTTGCAGGTAAAGTATTTTCATATCACACAATCAGCCTCTCTGTAAACTTTAACATGATGTAATAAATTCAAACAGTCACTGAATCGTTCCTCCTGAACCTGAAGGTATCGTGTGTTTCTGTGTTTCTGTGTCTCGTGTCTCGTGTCCAGGTCTGGACCCGTCTCAGCGTCAGGGCGTGGAGGAGCTAATCTCTGCGGGTCCATCTCGCTTCGACCACGCCGCCTATTCACCATTTTACAGAAAAGCACCCTGCAGCACCGCATGAACGACTCCTTCTCCTGCCTGGTACGTTCACAACCACACACCATTTCCCTCTCTCTTCTTTAGGGACTTCATGTGCAACAACTGCAGCTCTGTGACTGCTCTTCAACTTTGTCATGGTGCAGTGTGTGCTCTCCTTTCTGTCTCTCTTTGCTCTTTGCTGCTGTTACTCTGTAAAGTTCTCCGTCATGGGGTTTAAATAAAGTTTTATCTCATATGTTATCGTAGAACAAAATATCTGAGAGAAAACCTCAAAGAAAAATAACAGTTACCTGAAAAAATCACAAAACAGTCTTTCACTAATTGACTCACCTTAGCAAAGAGTCAATTGCAATCTGACAAACAAAGTTTTAATCAACAACAGTTCAGTGGTGAAGCATTTTTTTATTGTTTGTTAAACATGAAGTCAAATAGAGTGTGGATCTTTGTGTGTTGAGTTTTAAACACAGACACAAATAAAAGAGGTTCACGATAATATATTTTAAAAAGCATGTTCAAGTGTGATTTGAATTCAATTTTTTAATTTTGCATACTTTTTGAATCCCTAAGTGGAAATTCTGGTTCACTCTCTGTTATTGAGAAACATGCTTCTTACACACATAGACCTGAAATACACACACAAACAGGATCTGTGGACATGCATGAAGAGAGTGATGTCAGAGTGAGGGGCCGCTATACAGAGAGCGCGACAGAGCTGACCTCGGCAGAGCTCGGCATCTCTCCAGCCAACAGACCAACTTCCTTACTTCGGTCCACACCAGGACTTTAACTGGCGACACTCTGGTTCCCAACTCTAGTCCCTACAGACTGAGCTACTGCCGCCCAAACAATGTTATCAAGCCTGAGTGCAACAATCGAAAAACTAGAATTCAGAGAGGGGGAAAAAAGGATGTAAGGAGGTAAAATAATAATTAGGTAAGTCCTCAGACAGCCAGAGAGGGTCAGTGTTTATCTCTACATGCTGAAACATTTTGCTCTTTACTTTACATTGTCCTTTCTGGTTGGAGACATCATTGCTTTTTGGATTTTGGACTCTCAGATGAAAAAAAAGAAGACATATCAGTTTGTTCATTTGGGCTCTGGAAACCTCCGCAGGTTGTTGTTTTTTTTAAAACTATTTTTGGACAAATGGTCAAGCTACAACACAATTTGTACGAATTATTCAGTGCCGGAAGTTTAATACTTTAAAAACCTCATCTTACAGTTTAAGTACTCTAGGGGAAAGGACTTAATTCTCTCTCTCTCTCTCTCTCTCTCTCCCTCTCTCTCTCGCTCTTTCTGTCTCCGTGTGAAGCCCGAGGGCTCTCTCACACTGATTGAGGGGATAAACGCTCTAATCAATACTTTCCAAATAGGAACATGACCCTTATAGAAAACTGCTGGGCTGACTCAATGGACGGGGGGGGGGGGGGGGGTGAGGCCTGAATAAGTGTGTGTAATGGGGGGGTGCAATGAGCCCAATTTGTGTTGTGTTGTGTGCGACTGAGCGAGGACCATGAACCCCACATGGAGTAGATATTATTCACATAGACTGTCGTGTTTTTGTGTTACTGTCTGAAGCTCTCTTAGCTGCTTTTGTTAATTATTTTCATATTAAATCTGTGTTATTTCTAGATCTCTCTGGAGTGGTTAAGGCTAAATTAGCAGCCTTGATTTTGGCGCTTGAGGAAAATTAAGAGAGTAAAAGAGGAAAACAGATGAAACAACAGCAGCATATGTCTACCAGTGTCATACACCGTTATTGATATTTAATTCTGTCAGCTAACTTTTTGATTTCTTGTCAAACAGTTCACTACAACAGTGGTTCTCAACTTGTCTAGCGTCAGGACCGACCACCGACTCCTCCATGAGAGAAAGCGAGCCAGATTTTTGATATTTTTCAACCAGATTTGAACCAGTTGAGAACCACTGCACTAGAATACTTTGAAATAACTTTAAAAAGAACCCAATTCGAAAGTCAAAGTTATACTTATCTTATTAAAGAGACCTACAGTGATAGTAATAGTCAAGTGACATACATACTCCTTTTAGCCCATTTGATACAAATTTTAGAAATACTCAGCTTTTTGTTTTCCAATTCTGAATTTTCCCATGGTCCAGGTTTCTATAATCATCCGTCAGTTTCTTCAGTAGGACAGTTTTTGTGTGATGGAAGTTAATGGTTTTTGGTAGATGGACCAGTATGTCCAACATGGTGGATACTACTCATTCTGTGAGCCCAACCACAAATACCAAAGTCTAATGGAATTCTTCCAGTCTCCCTTGATGTTTCCATTCCAACTTTCAAAAGAAATCCACATTTTCGTAGTTAAGACTATGCCTGTCATGGTGAGAAAGGCCAATTCCACAGAGTGTGGATAATTATCAGACAATCAAACTCACCGAAACTTAAATTAAGATGGATTTTGAGCAGTCAGGTCACTAATGTGTTGCCTTGTGTTCTCGTCTCTTAAAAGCAGCAGATCGAGGAGATATTCACTCTGAGTGACATCTGTGCTGCTTTCATTTCTCTACCTGCCTCACCAGGACTCCTTCCAGCTCTGCAATTAGACCAATCCATTCACACCGCCCCTCCAGCTCTCTCTCCTCAGCCTTTTGTGAAAAACTCAAGGGCTTTGTGTTCCAGCCTGAGCCCCTTTTCACCAAACACTCTGAAAAAAGGCCAGTGCCTCTGCGTGGGGGACATCTGTTGAGAAGTGGTTTGGATTCATGTCATTGCCGAGGTCATATTTTATTCACAAAGAGTTGAACCCAACAACAACAACAGTAATTAGGCAGAGATTTGGTTTGTAGCTGAGGCCCAGAGTCCTGTTAACAGGACCAGTGTGGTTCTCACTGACGATTAAAGGGTTAAAACCTCCAGTGAAGCTGCTGCTGGAGCATTGAGGTCCAGCTCAAATGGTTTTCTAATGAGTCCAAGTAGGTGGTAACACTGGAAGAAACCTGAATAAACTTAATCCCAAACCATAACAAAGTTAATTCTTTAATTCCTGTAGTAGAACTCAAGTGTAATTACAACTTCAAACAAGAAGACAGGAACAAAGAAGGAAAGAAAGCAGTATTCATATCTCATGAAGTGAATAGAAACATTTCCACCAAACTGGATTACGCTTGTACTTCTGCTTAAAGTCTACCCCCTTTACGCCTTAGGTACACTTGGACCCTTTACCAAAGCCTGGATTTAACTTCCCCGGAAATTCAACTCTGCATTTTTGCAATTTGGATCTTAACGACTGTGATTGTTTGCATCGTAGCCTTGCAAAGAAAACTATACGGTGGACTCTCCCTTGCCGCTAATTTGTAAATAGCTGCTATAGATTGTTGGCTTCAGTATAAGGTTCAACAGTTTTGTTCGCATAGTGTGTGGAGAGCTACTTGAAATTTCAAGCTGGCAGCCATTTTTCAAAATTTAGTGGAGCAGTAAGGCTTAAGAAATCATTTAGTTGGTGATACAAGCATGAAAATTGCCATGAGCCACCATGAGCGCTTAACTGCTCCACCACCTAAATGGAGCAGTTAAGCGATATAATTGTTGAATTAGTGACACAAGCATGCAAATTGGTATGAGCAGTCATTAAGGGTTGCTTGACAAGAAAACACTCCCAGCCACTTGAAATTTATATTTTCAATATGGCTGCCCCCTGGATCCTCAAAAGATCAAATGTATTGGGTTTTTTCATTAAGGATGATTTGGTGTCATTTTATTTGATATGTTTTAGATTATGCTAAAGAACAACTTATAACGCATCAAAGTACAGTTGTTTTGATTTGTTGATCATAGATTTGCAAGACTCAGCGAATGTCCCTCTGCAGTGGAGGATAGTGACCTGCAAGCTTTGGAGAGATTTGTTGTGCTAATGTATGACAAGTCCAGCGATGTCACAACTGTGAACGAGACCAGGCTTGATCTCTTTGCCAGAAAGCAAAGACAATATGACTTGATCCCACCAACTCAAGCAGCACTCAAAGAGCATGCCAAACGTGCTTCTTATGAGGCTGGATACGTGTGGGGACAGGCATTGAAGCGACATCCACAAATGCCGAGCCCATCCGACTGGGGATGGGTGGAACAGGACGAGGAGTGGAAAGTCTTCTGGACTCCACTTCCACCTATTGCGGAGAGTTGTTGGGAGTTGACCAAATGTGGGTGCACCAAGGCATGTACTGGAAGGTGTAAATGCTTCAGATATGGACTCAGTTGCACATGCCTATGTAGTTGCCCCTGCTAGAACCTATTTGCATATTTCTTTTGCCAGAGTTATTCCCTGTTGTCCTCTGTGTTTTCAGGTGTAGGCCCATGGCTCGGCTTCCCCTCGCCACATCGGCGCACCATGTTTTACTTTGACACCAGCCTATTAATGTGAAATTTTCAGTTGTTACTTTGTAACATTGCTTCCACTGCCTATATCTAACAGTGAAGCACATTTTCAGTTTAGTTCCTTAGTATTGTTTGTCATGGTTCTGTGGCTGTCAGCCAGAGCTGCTGTTTCCCCACCCCTTAGTATTTATTTGACAAATTGAATGGCTGCTAGTTTAAAAAAAAACCTAAAAAAAAAACCTCCCTTGTGACTGTTACCTTGTCATGGTAAGGGAGCTTGTGTACCTCAGTGAACCCTGACAGCTATGCTGGTGGGAGGCAACTCCTGACAGGTTTTACCAAACTGGACAGGTCATGGGTGAGGAGACAGACAAAACACAGTCAAACAACCTCTCTTGACAGAGCCTTTTGAGGAACCCAAGTGACCCATGGAGACTGATCATGCCAATTTTCACGCTTTTATCACACATTGAAAGATTGTAGCACTTATCTGCTCCACTATTAGAAACATCAACAACAAAAAAAGGAATTAAAAGGTTTTGTCTGAAGGGAGGAATAAGGCCCAAAATCTTTGGTTACCTTAAATCACGTCCATTATAACCTGTTCAGTTTCAGTGGCCTGTGTCCAAAATCAATGAAGAAGCCTGAACACAGTGTCATTAAAGCCACACCACCAACTGTTAGTGCACAGGGTAGTCTTTGCTTAGATTCAGTGCAAATGTGTAAATGATGCTAGTTTAAAGCTCCAGCCATGAGTTTATAACAGGTCATGAAACTGAGTGAAGATAATACTGAAGCCTCTGTATGACCTTGGAAAGCGAACAAAACCGTAAGTGAGAAGATTAGTTATTCCTTCATTGTTATTTGTAATGTCTGAAACTGCTGCCGGGGGGGTAGGTGTCAACCGGGATTGACAGCACGCTGCAGAAACCGCCTTTGTTATCCGACCGCAGAGATTCCCCAAGGATGGTTAAACTCGACTATTAAAAGACTCTTTGTCGTTGTTTTTGAATTTGTATCATCATTGTTGAGGTCAAATCAAACAAAATATTCTCAAAGTCTTCACGTCAGAGGCTCCAAAAGTCAGCCGGACATCTTCCCAAACTATGATATCTCCCATTGAAATATAAAACAGATGTCTTTAGAAAGGGCCGGGCAAAGCTTGAATGTAAGCCGGTGAGTTTTATCGATCACTGGCAGCTTGTCGTCCGGGGACCCCTCACCCTCCCTAAACTGCTGATTGGTGAAGCAGAAGGAGAAGGGTCAAAGATCATGGAGAATGAGCGTTGAACTGCAAAATATCTGAAGACCGACATTTACCTCTCCACCAATGTTTAATCCCAACAACTGTGATGTAAATCTGCCCCACTTACTGTCCTGTCTACTTTCCATTCGTTCCATCGCAACCTTTAAAACATCTTAAACATCTTCATCTTCAGTCTCCACCTTCACTTTTGTAAGCCATGGGCGTCTTTGTGTTGTCTGAGCATGCTGCCGTCAATTACCACCCTGCAGAGCCTTCATGGCCTGTTCAGTAATTACCCAGCTCTATGCATCCACACGGCTCCGCTCCTTCTCTAAATATAAAGCGTGAGCTACATTTGTGCTAATTAGCACATTCTGCAGAAGAAGAGAGAGGCTTCTGCTGGAGAGACAAACGCTGACCTCGAGCACAAATGTTATGACATTTAGCTATATTTGGGTTTTTCATCCGTTTTTGATAAATGCTTTGATTCCCTAAAATCATAAACATTAAACTATTTAGCATCGAGCAGTCAGATGAGTTCAGTCAGGTGATATGAAAATAGTTTTGCAATACTAACAAAAGCTTTAATAGCTGAGACCAATATGTTGTGCTTTTAAATAAGGATACCTTTAATCTCTAGAGAAGAGTAAATCTGTGTTGTTCAGGACGTGATCATCAAAATCTCTGATACTTTGATACTTTTTCATACCATGTGTTGAAAAGAAAACTATCTGTTATTTTAATGATTGCTGGTATCAGAAAGTACTTAAGCTTCAAAATAACTCAGATCTTAAAGGCACAGTTTATAAATTCCTCCACCAGGGGGCTCTTAATGAAAACCAGAATAAAAGATGACGTCAGACCGGCAGGGAATCATGGGAGTTTTCTCTGCTACTCTGCATTGCTGCCTTCACATATTCAAACAGCTCTGTTGATGGTCATGGTATTAGCTAAAAAATTGATTCTCAAAGACAAAGGGGACTTTACTGCTTGTGCTACCTTTCGAGATGGAAATAAATGTTGACATTTTAAAAGTTTTTTTACTTGGTGGTGATGATATTCTCAGGGGTCTCTCCCTCCCTCACAAAGTTAAATTTTCTTTCTGGAGTTAATTTACAAATATTTTGTCTTTCACATCTTTGCAGTCCATATGTTTTGTTTGAAAATAATTAAAGGTATCAACGCCAATCCCAAATAAAGGCAGTGTCATTTCATAGACTGAAGAAAATAAAAGCCTGGGCTGTTCCTCAACCTGAAGGTTTGAATCCCAAAATTGTTCCTTTAATTGCAGAAGAATTTGATGATGTTTTTATATTTTAGTTTAATAAAAACGATGCATCTGTTCTCTTAAAAATAGAACGGGCAGTTCCGTGTGTGTCATGTAACAATGTCACATCTCATCGACAGTTGGAGGTCGCCACAATTTTTGGACCAAAGATTTATTTCATGAGCCAAAAAAGCGTTTTTGCTCCTTGAGGCCACAACCCGAACCACCCCTTCGTTTTCCTCCGTCAGCTTCCCGTCGGGCCTCAAGTGGGGAGCAACGAGCCGATGTGGTCTCAGATTCAGAGCCACACGCTGCTTTCACTTTTTGAGGAGGGGTGGGGGGAGGGGGGGGGGGGGTCATGTCTTTTCTCGTAGAAAGGCGACGGACGCCGGCGCTCAGAAACGGGAGACGAGCAGCAGTGGCTGACGGAGCAAACGAGGCAGTCGGCTCGTTAGCAGCTAATTGAGCGGTCATCGCCAAGACTGGAGTTCGCCATCTGTTTGTCACAGAGGAACATCTTGTCGCTTCACGCCCGTCGACAGCCCCCCCCCCCCCCCCCTCTCTCTCTCTCTCTGTGGTGTGATATTAATAGCTCGAGCTCACAGACGGACTGAATTGAAGGAAGAAACTCGACAAACAAACTAAAGACTGGAGGGAAGGGGCGAGAGGGAAGGAAGGGGGGGGAGACACTAAAAGGCCTACAGACTAGAAATCTGCCAGGTCCAGTTAACCCCGACAGAAAGCAGCATGTTTACCAGAGTCTAAATAAAATACTGTTCCAGTCCTGAAACGGTCTTTCATGCAGAAGATATTAAAAACCATGACGGATAAACGTCCCTGTCTTTCCCTCAATCGTAAAAATAGACAATTATCTTCACAGTTTCTGTTTATTAGCAGAAGTAACTTGATGGGTGTTAACCTCCAACATGTAGCACATCACACCAACATGAACACCACAGTCCCCATCATGTCACAGACTTTAAAATAATGTTTATCTTAGTTTTTTATCCCTGAAGAAATCCTCTGTTTAAAACGTTTAGATGTAATAAACTTTTTTTCTGGCGTTTACTCAGAGTGTGGTCATATTTTCTCCCTGCACCTACAGGACGTGTTTATAATGATTTGATTGTCTGCTGATTGGCGAGCGTGACTTGAGCTGAAAATTTTAAAATGTTTTAGTTTTATGTACACCCAAAAAAACACTAGAAAAACACATTGCATAGCAGCAGAGAGGAGCGCCAGGCAAGCGTGCTGTACAAGAGGAAGACAATGCTTTTGCTGGTGGAACTTTTCTAGTGATGCTTCTCTGTGTGATGGGGCTGGGAGTTATTCATAGAAAGGGGCGTGGCTGATCTGACTAACGGGTTGGTGTGCAGAGGTTTGTCAGGAGGCTAAAGGCCCGCCTAAGCTCCAGCTCTTAGCCTGTTACTTGGTTGACTGAAAGTGAGATTGAGACAGCATTTCAAATATGGAGACCACCACTGATTGGCTTCAAAAGTCGGCTTCAGATACCAATGGGTGACATCACTGAGACTACGTCCATGTTTGTCTATTTCATCATAAACGGTTTTGCAGAAACGTCAACATTCTTATATCGCAGAAATATGTAAAAAAATTGTAATAATTTAAAGCCCAGTTATTATAAAAATGGCTGCAATATTTTATCTGCTATATATTTTATCACGGTGGTGCAGTGGTTAGCGGTGTTGCCTCACAAAGAGGAGGTGTACTCCAGCTTCCTCCCACAGTCCAAAGACATGCTCGTTAGGTTAACTGCTGACTCTAAATTGTCCGTAGTTGTGAATGTGAGTGTGGCTGGTTGTCTGTCTCTATATGTCAGCTCTGTGATTGACTGATGAACAGTCCATTGTGTAACCCCGCCTTTTGCCCAATGACAGCTGGTATCGGCTCCTTTCCCCCGCGACCCCAAACGGGAAAAGCAATATAGATTTAACTCGTGAAATTATGTGTTTATAATCTAATCTAAATCTATATAATCGACAAAAACAGTCAAATTTTTATGCAAATAATCTGCTAGAAAAACAAAATGACACAATTCATTTAGCTCTCCTCTCCAGAGTGTGTGTGTGTGTGTGTGTGTACGTGTGTGTGCGTGTGTACGTGTGTGTGTGCGTGTGTGTGTGTGTGTGTCACAGCTCGACGGAGGTGCTAATTTGTTAATGTTCCTTCCGTAAGGAATCTTAATTAGTGATGTAAGTTTCATGCCTAATTTAGTGATTACTCGCAGGATGAATGAGCTAATGAGCGTCTCAGGATGTTTCCACCGCTCCACTCCTTCCTTTTTCTCTTTGTCTAGTTGGGTTTTCTTTGCTCAAACTGTAGCCAAGTATTAATAGTTGACGGTTTAACCTTCACACTGGCTGATGAGTGAGGTCGGTTCAGGCCCTCCTGAGATCGGAAGAAACCATGAGGGACATCTGCAGCAGTAAGGGGAGTTTGTCATCAATCAGCTAAATTCAGAGTATCACTCTTTATCAAACCGCCTCTTTATAGTTCTCATGCCCCCTATGAAATCTGAAAAGCCTGAATCAAAATGTCTCCTGATCTTGTGTTGTAGTCAAGACCACGATAACCGACACCAAGACATACTCGGGACCAGAGTGCTCCGAGACCGAGACATTTAGAGATCGAGACAGTTGGTCAAAACCAACAAAGACCATAAACATCACCGAAAAATCCTCCTCTGTGGGGCGATTGTGGCGCAGTGGTTAGTGCGCGCACCCTATGTATGGAGGCTGTAGTCCTTGAAGCAGGCGGCCCGGGTTGAATCCAGCCTATGGCTCCTTTCCCGCATGTCATTCCCCACTCTCTCTCTCTCCCTGATTTCCGACCCTATCCACTGTCCTATCCCTCAAATAAAGCCTTTAAAGCCAAAAAATCCTCCTCTGTGTGCAGTGGGCGTGTCATTCACTTAGACTGTAAGACTGGGAAAGTTGAGGCCGTAACCGTGTGAAACGTGTCATCAATAGAAGGAGAAACACAGTAATTCTAAAGCCAGATTAAAAGTTAGCGAGGGTCTAATGAAATCCGATCTGACCAGCTGGTCATTTGAAATATTGCTCCATGAAGTTTGAATCTGATGTCAGTCTTGTTTTGTGAAACCTTAAGTCTCTGAGTTCTGTATTCCTGTGTGTTGTTTCTTCTCAGGGTTGGTTCAGCCCCGGCCAGGTGTTCGTCCTGGACGAGTACTGCGCCCGTTACGGCGTCCGAGGCTGCCACCGTCACCTGAGCTACCTGAAGGACCTGATGGATTACTCAGAGAACAACGCGCTGGTAGACCCCACGCTGCTGCACTACAGCTACGCCTTCTGCGCCTCCCACGTCCACGGAAACAGGTACACCGACCAACACTTGTCTGTTTATAAGCTCGCAGGGGAGCTGGTGATAACGACCGATGTGGAGCTCAGGTGTTGAAGCACAGCTTGGCTGTGGGCCAGCGATAAGAGGTGTTACTTTATCTGTGCAGAGAAGACACTGAAGCCGTTTTTACAAATGCACTTCTGAAAATATCGAGATAATTTCAGGACTGCTCCGGAGATTCTCCTGACCTGGATGTTCACACATGCTCCTCACAGAGGGAGACTATCCCTGTTAGATCGTAGCGGTCTCAGGCAGACACTCTATGCACCGTGCAGCAGTCACATCATAGAAACATCACTCCTCGTGAACGCAAATTCGGTTTGTGTTCACACATGCAGCCCCTCCGGGAAATATATTTTCAGGAGTTTTTTCAAGTGTGAAAGCTCTATGAGAGATCTTCTTGTTTAAAGAAGGAAAGGTTTAAAAGAAAATATGGTCAACAAAAAGCTTTTATTTCTACATTTTCTTGAAGGGTTCTCTATTTGATCATGAACATATTTTTAACGAGGACTTGTTAAAACACTAACTTCGTCTTTGCTCACCTTTAGTCCCTCGCTGACGGGCTACATGTGAGCAGCAGCCGTCGTCTTTTAGCCACTTGTTGTCATCAACGTCGCTCCAGCAGCAATTCAGTCGTCCTCTTCACTCCCAGCAGCCCCTGCTTGACTCCCGGCCTGTTAATTACTGATATCTGTGCTGTCTCTCTTTGTCAGCCCATTTAGTCAATTAGAAAGTGTAATGATTAGCTTCTCTAGCAAATCGCCAGTTACAAATTCAGGGAGGGGGTGGGGGGGTTACTGGAATTGGCTTTTTGTCAGTTGAAGCTCTAATTTGAATAATTGATGCCCATTCGGGGCTGCCGGAGCTGCCTGAGTGGGAGTGGATGGGAAAAAGAGGGTTTTTTGGATGCCTGGCAGCCTCAGAGGTGGAGAAAAAAAAAAAAGAACGTAATTACAGAACTCAAGTTTTCCCGTGGAGGGCCGCTCGGAGATGGGAGACGACGTCAGGAGGCAGAGAGGACATAAAGTGACAGAGTGCTCAACAGGAGAGTACTTGACTAATACTTCAAGGCGTTATCAACTCAGACTGTGCTTTTCTCTAGAAAACACTCGAGGCAGACTTCAAGAAAACCATTCAGAGCTTCAGTCAAGATGTAAATATTTGCAGTTATTATTTGCATGTTATTCAATAAATAAGGAGGGTGTTAGAACTTCTTTAAGGCAGCTTTCTTCTTCTCAAAGCTTTGATTTTTTATCACAGCTTCTTTTTGACCCTGAGATTTTTCTCATTTACTTTTTGTCTTTGATGGTCACTGTTTTATGCTACAACTTCAACTTTATATTCCTGTTGAGTTTATTTCCCATCATGCATTTCCATGACAGAGGAGATCATAGCGGTCTCGTTGATACATTGATCCCCCTCCTATTGGCTCGAGGTAATTTCTCCAGAGAATATCTTTTCCGACTTGCAGCCGGGAGAAAAGTGGAAGGAGAAACTGTGCGCTCACACATGCAGCTTCTCCGGCAAATTGTTTTTTCAGGAATTTTCTGCGAGTGTGGAAGCCCTGTAAGAAACATTTCAGAGTGAGATGTGTGCATTGTCCCAAAAGTGATTTAAAGGTATTTTATGCAGATTTAAACAGCTGTCTCTCTTGTGGCTGCATCTTTATTATTCCTCCTGAATGTAACTGTGTGATTCAAACGTCTGAAAGCGTGCGGTTAGATCATCTCAAGTGACCTTAGAATTACTCTGAACTTTAAACACAGATGGGGCGCTGATGGCCCAGTGGTTAGTGCGCGCCCATGTAAGGAGGCTGTAGTCCTCCAAGCGGGCGCCCCAGGTTCGAATCCCACCTGTGGCTCTTGTCCCGCATGTCATTCCCCTCTCTCTCTCTCTCTCTCTCTCTCTCTCTCTCTCTCTCTCTCCCTGATTTCCGACTCCATCCACTGTCCTATCTCTCAATTAAAGGCACAAAAAGCCCAAAAATAAATCTTAAAAAAATAAAAACTCTGTGTCTGAGTGAATCTGGACGTGATGCGTGTGAATGTGATCATCGAGGCCTGCTGAGGTTTTTTAGAGACTCACGATGTGATGGAGCAACTCCACCTGAGCAGGTGTGACAGTCTTGTGCTGGTCTGTGGTCCGATCAGACGGGTGCGTTTGAACTGAGATCGGGGTTAAAGGAGCATTACCAGAGCCTGAGGGGGAGGGGTCTGCTCGCCCCCCCCCCTTCTCACCTGTCACGTCGGATCTCCTCCTTGCCGAGTCGTCTGCACCAACCTGACACTGAATGTGACAAGAGCTTTTACCTCCCCCTGCCCTGCACACAGGAGGAGGAAGCTGACACACATGATCACCTGCCACTCAGCTTCATCTCCTCTCCACACCTCTTAAGGTGAAGTGGCGTCCACCCACGGTACCCTGCCACGCCGCTCTATGAGCGCCACTCGTGACGATTCCTGTCAACCGACATCAGAACCAAACAGGCGGAGGGTCTGCTGGATCCCGCAGGCGGATACGGTACTTATCGTTTACACTTGAGCCACATCGAGTGTAAACACACAAACCTGAGAACCTCTCGCCCCCCCCCTCCTCCTCCCTCCTTGCCCCCCTTGGCCCCTCAGCGGCGCTGACAGCAGCCTCGCCTCCAACGCGCTCGCTTCATTTAGCAGCAACAATGTGTCTGAACCCCGACAAGCTGTCGCATCGCTCTCGGATCCGCCGTGTGAGCCCAAGCATGAACGCACATCTGACTGCGTTTAATGGCACAGAGGGAAGAGCTACCAAACCAAACATTACACCGGGTTGTGTTTACGTCTGGCTGCCGGCCAACTTATTCCTCGTCCGATTGGTTTCCTGCCATCTCTGGGTTCAGAAGAAGGGGAGGGTGTGAGTGACATTCAGGGGAAGATTTGAAGCTTGGCATATCGTCTGAAATTTCTCACTTTGTGATGATCAGAGAAAATTATTTCAACTTCCAGCACAAAAAAAATCTGATTTAAGTGACCACCTTCACACCGTGAAAAATAAATGTTCTCTGCTTTTGTGCTACTTTCTTCGTCCTGAAATGACCTTCATAAAGCAACGGAGTACAAACTCAAAAAGTCAGAGCTACCCCTTTTCACTGAGATTAACTTGTCTAGTCAGTCTTTGCAATTTAATTGTATTTAAAGGCCTGGGAATGTCATTATAGAGTCAACTATGAACAGAGTTGGTGAATAAAAAATGTGCTTTTTTCTCCGACACTTCACAGCCCTGTCAAACACATCAAGGTCCTGTGGGAAACTTTGCCTTTGTCCTCCTTTCGAAGGACCTAATATCACATTTTGAAATCCAAGGTGACAGGAATTTACTCTGAGGTGTGTTGAGTGAACTTTTTTAGTTTAAAAAAATAAATTCAAAGATCAGGTTTAAAGAAGAGATAAAGTTTCTTAGCTCAGGGGTTCCCAAACCTTTCAGCTCACAAGTCCCAAAGTCCCGAGACCGGGGACCCCCACTCTCCCCTGGTAAGACCAAGAACAAGGCAGGGTGAGACCGAGTCAAGACCAAGACCAAGACGGGGTGAGACTGAGTCAAGACCAAGGCGGGGTGAGACCGAGTCCAAGACCAAGACCAAGGCAGTAAGAGACTGAGTCAAGACCAAGACCAAGGCGGGGTGAGACCGAGTCCAAGACCAAGACCAAGGCGGGGTGAGATCGAGTCAAGACCAAGACCAAGGCAGGGTGAGACCGAGTCAAGACCAAGACCAAGGCGGGGTGAGATCGAGTCCAAGACCAAGACCAAGGCAGTAAGAGACTGAGTCAAGACCAAGACCAAGGCGGGGTGAGACCGAGTCCAAGACCAAGACCAAGGCAGTAAGAGACTGAGTCAAGACCAAGACGGGTCTCGAGACCAAGACTGATTTCGAGCACTCAAACACACACACACACACTAATAGGCCTATCTAAACCCGCTTGCGACCCTCCGTGGGGGTCCTGACCCCCGCTTTGGGACCCCCTTTCTTAGTAGACCTGCAGATAACAGAGGATAAGTTTGTCCAAACATTAAATACTATACTTTTTCTGACAGCTGGTGTGTTTTAACGATGCAATCTCAGTGATTTTATTCATCAAAAGTGTCAAAAAAGTACCAAAGATTAAAAAAGAAAAATACAGTCCTTGAATCTTATTTTTAACCCAAAGCTGCTGCGAGGAGTGACAGAGGGCGATCACGTTCTTCATTTCAACGTATTTGTGTAATTCAGACGACCTGAAGGAGTTTGTCTGGAGCGTCTGAATTGTTCATGTCAAGAGTTTTGAAAGTTTCTCTGATGTCTTTCAGGAACAGGATCATGAATTTTTCTTCCTTAAAAAAAGAGTGAGTAAAGTTCTAATGAGAAAGCAAAAGTGGAACCCCTTTGAACCGGTTTTTGTTATCGATCACATGAAGAGCTGCCAAACTGATCAGTCAGTTTTATTTTCTGTCACCTCGCTGCTCACAGTTTTTAGAGGAAGATGAACGACCAGGATTACAGAACAGCTGGCATAGACTGTGAGGGCTTGGAGCCTGAGGCCATCCTCCCCTCCATCTCCTCATCCCTACATCTCTGCCCCCACCAGGGGCCTCACTCTGACCACAGTCAGACCCTCATTCTGGGGCCCAGAGTTCAGGGAGGCCCTCCTCCAGCGTTTCTGTCCTCTATACGCGCTCCTCCTGCCGCCGACTCGGCTGCTTTATGTTCCTGCAGGATTAACTGGTTCTGCTTAAATAGGAGAGCTGTGGGAGGTGGAGAGAGGGGCGTGATTAGGTGGTGGTGGGGGGGGGGTAATGAATTGACATATTCGGAGGAAAACAGGGTTTAGAAGTTGTGCTAACAAGTGCTGCTGAGTGGAGCTGAGTGGAACTAGAGAGGCGCAGATGTTCTCACACAATCATCGAGCGCTTTCTGTTGTCGTCCTTCACCTCACCACACCCCCCCACCCCCCATTCTCCACCCTCCAGGAGTGAGTGGGGAGAGGACATGCGGGGAAGGAGACAGGAGTTGGGTTTGAACCCAGGCTGCTTGCTTGGAGCCTCTGTACGTGCCCTAACCACTGCCCCACAGGCACCCCTTATTTTTAATCAATTAATTAATTTTATATTTTATGTGGCTGTCTTTTTGATGTCTGTATCTCTATATTTGATAATATCCTATTTCAGATCATGAACACAATATTTCACATCTTTTCTTTATTTTTAAACGACTTACATTCCTCTTATAAATGTATGTGTATTTGATCTTTACGAGCTTGAGCCGCACTTTGTGGTATTTTATATTTCATGTGGTTTTTACATTAAGCTCACTTCATGCTGCGTCCTTCAGAAACATTTTGATCTTCATGATTTTATTTGAATTCTTCTTATTTGTGATTACCTCTCGGGCATTTTGATCACATTATAATATCCTCTGATGCTTCTGTGCAATCACATGTTCAGCTTCACGTCCACTCTGTGCATGCTAACATCTGCAGCTCTGTTTTCGGCTGCTCCACTATTTTTAGTTTTGACTAACTGTGTGCTCTTTATTTGTCCATCCTCGCTCTTAACACTGTAAACTTCTCTGATGTGGGACAAACAAAGGTTCATCTTTTCTTACTGCACATAAAAGTGGAGCGCTGCATCCATGAATATCTGTACAGAGGTCATTTAGTTTAGTTTGAATTGAAGACTTTTTGATATTTTGTGTATTTATTGTGATTTTTAAAGGTGCACTGTGAAGTTTTAGAGAAATGTGAAAGTTGGAGAAGTGTACAGATTCTGTGGTATATGTTAATACCTCTAAACACAAACTGTCCTCAGAGGAAAATTTAGTCCCTGTAACTGTTTGAAGATAAAATCCTGCATGAGAAGTTATGATGGGGGTGCCCGTAGCAGTGAAAGCGTAACTCTCCTGGTAGCTTTTTAGCTCCAAACAGCGTTCAGGGAGTAAAGTTTGTGTATTTAGTTCAGAAAACATAGCATAAAATTGTTTCACTTCTCCAACCTTAAAATTTCACTCCCTATCTATAGTGCACCTTTAAGGATTGTAAATACACCAGGACTGTAATTTCTTTATTTCTTATTTATTTGCTCCCATTGAGATTAAGAAACTATTTTTTCAAAGGAGACCTGCATGGCCGAGGCCGAATTTACAAAAACACTGACATGTGCATTTAAAATAATAATAATAATAATAATAATAGCTTGGGTTTATATAACGCCTTTCAAGAAACCCAAGGACGCTTTACAGTAGTAAAAAGGGGAGCAGTAATAGGAGACAAGAAAAAAGAAATAAAACACAAACAAAGAAAAGAAGGAAAGAAGAAGATGGAGGAAGAAGTGGGTGCTTTATTTTTTCTTAAAATAGAAAAACCATCGATGAGTCAAATGTGGAGTTTTAGCAGTCGAGTTAAAAACATCAACATCCTGAAGAATCTGCTTCCAGGTCTTTCCTTGTAGCTTTAAAAACATTTAAAGGACACCAGCTCCTCTCCTTCTTATTCTTCTTCTTCTTCTCTGTGAGTTTTCAAGTCACTCTGCAACAGATTCACGGCTGAAGGTGCAGAACACCCAAAAAGCCTGCTTCACACTTTCTCCCCGAGCGTTTGAGGAGGTGCAGACAAAGTGGAGATCTGTTTGTGTTTCAGTTGTAAATAACTGTGAGCATGTGTTGGAATGATTTATAAACTAATAGAAGAAAAGTCACACATGGGTAGGGGTCTTTAACTTCTTCCTGCTCCTTTTTTGGAAACTTTTACTTTTGTTTTTAAATTAAACTTTTGGTTTGAATTTTATTCTGTTGGAATCATTCAGAGACTCTCATCAGTTTTGTCTCATACTTTTCTCGCTGCAGTTTTTTTGGTTTGCTCTTAAAAAAAAGAAAAATAATTCTGATGAAAAGATGATTATTTCCATAATTAAAATTCACTGGAGGCTAATCAGCTGCCGCTCGTTCTCTCTCTCTCTCTCGCTCTCTACTGTCTTTTTTTTATTTTTTGTTGTATTTCTCGACTTTGTGGAGAGTCAGGAACACGCCGTGAGGAGGAGCTCGGCGGAGTTGTTGGTACTCGAGGCGCCGCGGTCAGGGGCTGAACCAGCAAAGGCTTTTTTATAAGAACAACTCATTAACAGACAACCTCCTCGCTCCTTCCCTCGAGCGACCGCGAGTGCCGTTTGGAGAGGGTGCTTTTCTCTTTCAGCCGCGCGCAGAAAGCCCAGAAAAGTCAAGGCTGGTCGCTCTGGGTGCTGATTGCATTTTTTCCCCTTTTTTGCCAAAGTGCCTATTCAGACGACGGCAAGGAGGGAATGAAAGCTTTGCAGACATTAATGAAGCGCTCGACTAACAGTTTTCTCTTTTGTCCACTCTCCTCCTGCCGGCCGCGTGAGCTGTGGAGGAGGAGGACGAGGAGTCTGAGCAGCTCTCCGTTTGATTGCTTGACTCTGGGGTCAGCGTGGAGAGTTTGGCTGCTTTATCAGTTTAGTTTAGTGAAAAACAAGCAGAGCGAGCAAAGAGGAGCTGCTAAAGCTTCACACCATGTTCCTTTAGGTGAAGAAACAAACCAAGATCCCCTCCACAGTTTCACCTCCACACGTCTGTGCTCACATGTCAAAAGCATTCAAAGATTTCAAGTTTTAAATTCTAATTCTTAAATAGATGAAAGGGCTTTTTATTTTCCTACGCTGAAGAGAGAACCAGCGTAATAATATAAACATCAAATAAATGTCATCAAGGCGTACCAACTGTAGGATACATTTACATCTTTTCTTGAACGTTTGAATTCTTTCTCTGCTCTACTGTCATCAACACCTTCTGCACGTGTTTCATATATGTTCATGCTCAAACTTCCATGATGTATTCAGTTTGTGCAGAAAACAATGTAGTTCATCTTTAAGGTGTGATATGTAGAATTAGACCAAAGCCCTGTTCACACGTGCAAAACTCCAGGAAATGTCACCCAATTTTTTCTTCTCCCAGAAACAGGAAATCTTCAGTGCCAACAGCTGAGCAGGGGTAATGAAGTTCGGTCCGATCTCCGTTAACAAACTTAAGCTGCTTCAAACTCTTCAGCCGAAAGCAAAACCTCGCTAGTGAAGAAGTGATGTCTACCGGGAAAACTCAGGGGGGGCTCATTGCATTTAAAGAGACACACACACCAAAACGGAGCGTTCTGAGAGAGCTGGTTTATACAGGGTCACAAACCTCCTCTGGTGCTTGATTCATGTTATATTTTGACCAAAGCACAGCACAGATGTTTCATTTAGACCACAGGGGACTGTTTGAAAAGGTGGAAAAGGGGGATAATATGTCCTCTTTAAAAAAAAAAAAAAAAAAAAAAAAGTCTCCATGAAGCAATCATCAGTGAGTATCAGAGTGAATATGTTGGAGTTAGTTCAAGGTCTGAAGCGTCTTCTTCATGCATTAAATGCCTCATTGAAATTAGTTCATGATTACCTGGTTGTGTATAAATTTTGTAGTTTTAAATATGACCCGAGAATGAGAACTGCTTGAACTCTGAACAACTTAAAGACAGCTCCTTCCCTTTGTGTGTTTTCTGTTTTCTGGTCAGACCCGATGGGATGGGGACGGTGACGATGGAGGAGAAAGATCACTTCGAGGCCATCAGGAGCCGCCTCATGGCTCTGCTGGAGAACCAGATCACACATTTCAGGTAGGAAGCATCTCCTCGTCGGAAACACAGAACTAAACAACCTGTACTGATAACCAAAACAAGACGTCCAGGAGCTTGATTACCACCACAGAAAACATACCATGCATGCATAAAGTTTGGGTTTTATATCTGCAGTTTTAGAGATCTAAACCTCTCTGGTAGAAGCTTTGATGCTATGCCATTTCTACGGAGGCTGGGAAGTGCAAAACAAAATTACAAACTGTGAAACGCTTTTACAAAGCTTGAGACAAATTAACATTTTGAAAAATATTTTTATATTTTTTTAAACAAAGTGAACAAAACCCAAAACACTTCTACGAGTGCTGAGACCAATTTACAAGCGGCAGAACACTTTTACCAAGGAAAAAAACAAATTTACAAACGACAGAATCTTGACGGAAAGGGAATGTACCAAATGTGATTATCTGGTCCTTCCGTCTCACCAGTGTCCTTTAAAAGTTCGAGAGACCGTCCACTCAAAAAGCAAAACTGACTGATCTGGCTCAAATGAGTTCCACAAAACGGGCAAAACATCTTTCTGTCACCACAAACTCCATATGACTTCATGTCACTGTTCACCAAGTCTTTCCACTAAAACAAACAAAATGACCCCTCACTCAATCATGTCCAGGTCACTTGCTGCTTTTGGTACATTCCCTCTCTGTCAAGATTCTGTGGTTTGTAAATTTGTCTCAGCGCTCATAAAAATGTCTCACATCTTGTAAATTTGTTTTGTCCTCAGTAAAAGTGTTTTGGTTTTGTAATTTTGTTTTATAAAATGTGAATTTTTTTCAAACTGTAACTTAGTTTCACACTTTGTAATTTTGTTTTGAACTTCCCAGCCACCGTACATTTCAGATCTTTTCCTTTTCTGACATGTTTTTAGGTCCTCTGCAGAAAGTTTATTTGTCTAAAGTCTCATCAAAAAGATTTTTTCCCTAAAGGACAAAAAGGAAAACGTTACATTTCTTTCTTTCTGTCTTTCTTTCGGGAGAAGACTTCTGATTGGAACATATCAGGATTAACCTCCATCACACATCAGCGTTTTTTTTTTTTTTTTACCCTGGTATGTGAAGCGATTTCTTTAACGCTAGGCCGATTTAAATAAAAAACACCCAAACCTGTGGAAAGCAGCGGTATGCTCCTTTAATTCGGGGTATTTTTAGCCCTGCAGCAGCACACAACAGGTGCAGTACTTGCGCCTGATGGGGGCTGATGAGACCTCCCTGCATCTGCGTGCTGCTATTCAGCGCCACTGTCGTCGCCGCCGCCGCCGTGTGAACACATTGTGAGCGCGGTGTGAAAGCGACAGCCCCAAGACCTTGAGCAACACTTGTCTGAATGGACCTGTGCCATTAACTGTCCCCCAGCCCGCCTCTTTAAACCCTTCACGCCTGAGAGGGGCCCTCCATCTGGCCTCAGAGAGGAGGGGAGAGGCCGAGCGATGGGTTGGTGGGGGGGGGGGGGGAGTGGATCAGCGGGAGTCATTACAAACGCACCTCAACAAGAGGCTAATGCTGGTAAACAATGGAGGGACAATGCTGGGATTATGCTAATGCTTCACCGGACAAAGGGAGGATTTCCACAGTTTAGTTGAGATTAAAGCGGAGTTTAAACACTAAACATTCATTAAAGGTCGTAAACTCCAGCTACAGCTGCTCTCAAGTCTTTCTCTGAGGAAGAAGCGTAAGCTAAAGACGACTTAATCGCTGTTTGCTTTTACCCACAAACCCCTTGAGTTCCTTCAGCATTTAAGATGCACTGTAGTGAGACTTTATTGTTTATTTTGGTGACATGAAGAACCCCACTCGTGGCTGTTAGGACCCCAAAATATACACTGCATATCCAGAGGTAAGTGGATACTAGAGCAGTGTGATAACATCTTATTGATAAGTCTACTTTCAGACCAAAGCCATGCTCACACATGTGGAAAAACTCCTGGAGATGTCACCCAATTTCTAGGTTGAGGAGCACATGACCAAAACCAGCCAAATGTTTCTACTCCGACTTTATCCAGGTTTTTCCTGTCAGACTCCAGAGACGTTTCTACAAGAGGTCTTTGAACGCAACATTAAGTGCCAATGCATGACTGGGGGGAATGATGCTTGGTGCAATCTCCGTTAACATACCTAAGCTGCTTCAAACTCTTTTCTGCTCACCATTTTGTTCTTTTTTACTCTACTCTATTTTTTATATAATATGAATACGTCCAATAACATGTAGCATTGATATTAATGCATCTGCCATCTTGGTGGGTCTTTTTGGCGTCACAGCATGACCCCTGAGCAGAGACGTGCAGAGGGTTAAAGAGGAGAAGGGGCCCAAATTCACACAAAGGCCATTTAAAAAAAAAAAAAAAAATAGAATCATAAATGTACGCCCAGAATGACACGTTTTTTATGCTATATCTTAGAGCGGTGCGATCTCCTAAGCTGCTTCAAACAGCGACTTTTCTCAGTCTAATTGTTTTGATTTTATTCAACCCTTTATTAAAGCCCCAATATGTAACTTTTCAGTTTTGGCGCCAACAGCAAGCCTCTGACTGCAACTGCACTGTCGTAAAACGGTTACGCTTCCCATCTGAAACAACGTGCATTTGTTGACAAGCAGAGGGTGTGGAAGCCGGCACAGACGCCGTGAGAAGATAAAGAACCATGTCGACTCAAAAGGTACAGTAATATTATCAGATTTTGATAAAACCTGGATGTCTGCAGTCCGATGTTTAGAATGTATTCAACTGTTACCATGATATCTACAGGCCGTAGCTAAATAGCTATATGTATGCTAGTTATCGGTTTGTAAGCTTATAAACTTTTTGGAGACAACGTAAGATGGATATATTTATCTATTTGTTTGCAAACTGGAGACATAACTTGTGTTGACTTTCTGCTTCCAGTAAAGCTGCTAAACTTGAGACAACGATGACACCGGAAATGATGCAGCCTCACGTTATGTCTAAATCTGTTATACATAATCTGCAAGGATGTTCATTCTGTCATCTAATGCTTTCCCATTAGACGTGAGAAGGATCATAATACAGACTTGTTCGGGCAATATTATAATTAGTCTGCAACCATGTATATGTAATAACTGTATGAGGTTTTTGTTTTTCAACATCGGTTTTCCTTTTATTCCAGGATTCAACTTCAACTCGCCGTCAGTGATGAGCAGGAGCCCGGAGTGGAGCAGCATCACAGGCCTGCAGCATATAGACAATGTGTGTTATGATAGCATGGCTGCTTGGGAGAGGGAAACAGAGTTATGAATCAAAGCTGCTGCGTCTGGAAAATCAGAGATGCTTTCCCAAGTACAGTATCCTGGCTACAGGGTGTGTTGCCTTCTGTAAAAATGTCTCTTACAGACTTGTACATACATACCTGTTGTAGCTTTGTTCGACATTTTTGTGCCATTTCAAGTTGAGTTTGTATTTTGAGTTCCTTGAAGTCTTTTGTTTTGACCAGTTTACATAATAAAACAGATATCCTTTTCTTCTACTCTATTGTTGTGATTGCATTTAGTACCTGTAATTGTCCTGTACTGGTAATGGTTATAACAATTAGTAATTGTGCATTGCCCACAGATTTTTAGTTCTTCTTATTTATATTTACATAATAACAAAAACATTATCAAGGTTTCAAGATTCAAGTGATCACCATTGGGCAGAACAACAACAACAACAACAAAGGTAATAATAAAATAGGATAATATAATAAGAAAGAAAAGCTAAAGAGCTCAAGATAAAATAGTTATTTATTAGACAAACATTGATTTTCTATACAAATAAAATCTAAAGCACATTTGGGCACTTGTTTACACATTCAGCTGCTTGGGGGGGGGGGCTACACTATCCTGGAGCTTTGTTATGATGTACCTGAGCCCTGATGATGCACAGTTGTAGATACAGGCAGGCAGAAAGTTTAGGAGCAGCTTCTCCCTGTGAAATGTGAGTAAAGTTCAGCTGTGGGTGATGCCTGCTGATCATCAGCACCAGACTCTGTTTTGTAGGAAGGACCGCTCATCTTTGAATTCTCTTTTGCGTCAATGGCTGTAGTCTCGTCTCTTTCAAGGCGTTCACACTCCAGCTCTTAGATTTTTATTGCAGCAAATTCAGGACCTTGGACAATAATGTTATTTTGTATTAGAGTGGTTTCATATTTTTTAAAACTGTTTAGGTAACAGCAACAATACATTTGAATGTTAGACAACTGTAATACTAAATATTTACATCTTGTGTCCATCACGGTTTTCGAGCAGGAAGTCGGGGGTTCTGGTGGTTATAATCAGTAGCTGCAAGCAAGGTCAGTGTTCTGTATACAGGTGGGCTGTGACCAAACTGCTTCTCTGCCTACATAAGGGTGTGCTTTTGGAAGTTATCCAAATCTGAAGTTGTCCTGTTGGGTAGAAAAGGCAGACAGAACAAAACCTGCTCTGTTAGTGAGATACTTCTCACTTCCACTTCATACTGCACCAAATAACATGAAGGTGAGCAGAGTCCTCAGCTTGAAAATCAGCTGGAGACATAGAAAGAGTCAAAATATAAATGCAGTGTGCCATTTCAAATACATTTTGTAATGGTCCTAAATAGCAATGATGCATCATGCAGCCATTGTCGATTTGAAAAAAAAAGTGGAAATGTGTTTATATGGAAATAACTACAAATACAAGCATTTGCATGACTGGAAGGTGATCTGCGAAAAATATATTTGTGTGTTTGAGATGTAAGTCAAATTTACCTGGATTACAAGACATCAGCCTCCTCCTCCTCCTCATTCGGTAGCTGAACACCTTGGACAGCAAACACATCATTCCCGAATCAAAAGACAAGTAGAATATTACATTTTACCATTCAATGTCAGTATTTTTTTAGATAACGATGCTCCATGAAAACATACCTGTCGCGGTCTGACTGTAAGATTCTGGCAGGGTTGTAGATTGCATTTGCTGCTGGAGATGATACTGATCGCCTTTTTAGAAAGCTGGAATAAAGTTTGAAGTCATTATGCTGGTTGATACGACTGTGCAGAGTATGTACAGTAACGTTAGTTTCAACACATGACAAACTTTGCATACGCGCTGCTCAGATAATTAGCAGTCAGAGCTATCGTAACCTGAACCCGGGACAATATGCTGTCGTGCTACGGGCTAAACTTCTGCAGACATGAGCTGACTTGGCTTTCAACCATCCGCTAATGTGTCGACAACTTTTCTCGCCGTGCATCAGTCAAAGTCTGCCCAAATAACTCTGACATATAAGGTTAGCATGCATCGCTAACTCATCATCATGGGACAGTAACGTTATTCTGACATTCTGGTCTTTATAGGATATAGACTGAATGGGTTTGTGTTGAAACAACTGATAACTATGATGCAAAGAAATAAGACAACGTTTATAATGAGCATAGTACTCACCAGTTCAACAGCAAGATTTATTTTTGGGCATTTTGTGCCTTCTTTGGAGAGATAGGACAGTGGATAGAGTTGTAAATCGGGGAGAGAGAGAGAGAGGGGAATGACATGCGGGAAAGAAGCCACAGGCTGGATTCGAACCTGGGCCGCCCGCTTGGAGGACTCCATACATGGGGCGCATGCTCTAACCACTGGGCCACCAGCGCCCCATCCCCAGCTTACTTAAGTTTATGTGAATCAGGAGCAATGTTCAATAAAAACATCAGTCTCAGAAAAGAGAGAGGCTTCATACCAGATTTAGCTAAATGGCTAGTTTCCATCTGTTGTCCCTGGGCAGGAGATGGCAAGTGTAAAGTACAGTTCAACCAGTCATGCATACACACACACACACACACACACACACACACACTTCATAAGAGAGAAGAAACACACAGAACATTATACAGATATTAAAACATTATGTACAGGCTTCCTTAAGTTGTCAAAAACTTGTGAAGATGACACATTATTGCTGACAAGACTGCTTCCTTAAAAATTTGTGCAAAGTTTAAGACTGATTATTCCGTTGGGGCGGCCCAGGTTTGAATCCGACCTGTGGCTTCTTTCCCGCATGTCATTCCCCTCTCTCTCTCCCTGATTTCAGACTCTATCCACTGTCCTATCTCTCCATTAAAGGCCCAAAAGCCCAAAAATAAATCTTAAATAAAAAGAAAAAGCAGAAGTTTCACAAACAAAGTTTCACATAGCTCTTCAGCATTACGGATTATCTTATACACTAAATGGAATACAAAATGAAATTGTCAAAGCAGATGTGCTTGTTCTTAAGTCATTAAACATGCTCTTAAAAACAGCCAATCAGAGCAGCTCGTTAAGTTTGCATCATGACTGGAAGAAGGAAAGTTAGAGAACAGATACAAAGAAACGTTTGGACATCAGATAATCTTTTGTTATCTTATGGGGAGAAATTAAAGTGTAGCAGCAGGAAAAAGACAAGAAGAAGAAGAGTGCTAAAGAAAAAAATACAAATAAACAGGACATGCAGACATGTTGTGCAGAGAGCGGTGAGTCACAGTTTAAGTGACATAATTTTACAATCCTCTTCTGACTTCTCTGCTGTTAAACGTTTGACCGAGTGAAAAAGTGAAAACTGTTCTTGGAACAAAGTCATGCTGTCATTGTTTTTTAATGACCTCCTCTTTATCAGCGTGACGGGGGACTGAACATCTGCCCGCAGGTTTCAGTCCATTAAAAGGCTGACCTGTGCTTTTGTTTTCTTAGTCTTGTTCACTTGTCAATTAGTGATTTGAAACCTTGTGCGCCCCCCCCCCCCCCCCCCACCTCGCCCGCTCTCAGATGGAGCTGGAGGTGAGAAAAGCTTCTTCATCGGTGTAATTAGATGAAAGGAAGCTGCCATCTGTCGACACTTTCTGACTGACGTCCTTCCACTGCTGGCTCAATCTTCCTATTCCCCCCCCACCCCACCCCCTTTTTCTAATTTATTCACACAGTTGTCCTTGAGATTGTTTCTAAATGTGATGACCGCCCACGTTTTGCATCTGCAGGTACTGCTTTCCCTTTGGACGACCAGATGGGGCCCTGAAGGCGACGCTGTCTCTGCAGGAACGGGTACAGGAGCACACTTAAATACTTATTTTTAAACATGTTTGTCAAGACGTCATGTCGGCTTTCCACACTGCTCCTTAAATCTGTAAATGCACAAAGCAGGAAAGTGATACGTCTGAATTTATTGATTTAGGAATAGTACTTAAATGATAGTGAGAGTTATGAGCAAAGGCTACTGCATTACATTTCAGTATGGGGAAGGTCGCTCTAAAGAGACTATGACGTCTCTGTTTAATAAACTATGAGCCCAGTCCACAATTCATTTAGCAAACACTTTTATCCAAAGTATGTATCCTCTCGATTGGTGGTCAGACCGACTACTGCAGCCCTGGTTTGAATTAGTGGACTTTCTCTACAGGTTAAAGAAAGGTTTATTCCTGACATATCCTCAGTGGCTTCTTATCTACACACTCTTCTTTCTGTCAAAGTGACTTTCCACAGGTGAAACGTCATGCATTTAAAACTCTACCTGCACAAAATGTTCACAAGTATTTCCAACAATAAAAATAATAAAAGTACAAGCACCTTTTCTTAATAATGGCCTCTTTCAGAGTGTTGACTTATTGAACTCCTAAGGTCCAGAAAAATTATGACGTTTTCAGTCTTGTGTGCACACATTTGATCTCATGAGACGAGATAAAAAGAAGAAGAATGTGAGGTCCTCTGGGGTCTCCTGTTAGGTTTAAAGAGAATAAATCAAAAACTTTTATTTGTGGTTGGTGACCTCACATGTCTCCACCCTGACCCCGTCTAATGAGTCACAATAACTGAGAACACACGGGTACACGTGGCCTTCATCTGGAATAAAACAGGACTTCCTTTACACTCAAATGTTCTTGTGTGCAGGTCAAGTGACTGCTGGTCAAAGCTGTCAGATTAAACACGTGGTGGAGTGTAAAGTTCTTGTTGAAATGTAACACAAAAGAAAAAAGAAGGTACCTAATGGAAAAAATCTCTTGAGTTCCAATGTCATTCGAATCAAATCACCATTCAAACCAATATCTGCCATTTTAAACAAATATATCGGGTTTGAATTTCTCCCCAATATAAATATCGGTATCGGCTCAAAAATTCCAATATCGGTCAGGCCCTACTTTTAACTGATCATAACATTTATATCTACCTTCACGGATGACACCAACATCTTCATTGTGTCCAAAGTTGTGGGATCCAAACCCTCTACAGGCTTTGAATCGCTGCCTGTGGATTATTTATTCAAACGATTTACAAGATGACTTAAGCTTCAAGGAAAGCACAAAATAATAAACATAATATCTATGTCGAAACCAAAACAACCTTACCTCCAATAAAGAAAATGCAGGCATCATCTAGCCTAACTCTCTAACAGCAAAACAGGAGAATTTCAATTTCTACAAGACACACAATTTCTCTCTCTGGAAAGTGAACGCGTCCCTCTGTGGAGGTGAGGAGGAAGGAGAGCAGCGTTCAGCTTACGCAGCTCCCTCAGATTTGTTTGTTTGTTTGTTTATTGGGATCCCCATTAGCTTCAGCACAGCGAGAAGCTATTCTTCCTGGGGTCCGCAGTTTATATTGTGACAATACATCTTTACAGATTCATATCATATATCATTCTTTTCACACTTTCACACAAACATTCTACAACATATATACCTACATAATAACGAAAAAATAATAAAGACAATTGACATAAAAACAGACAAACACAAAGGCTCCATTGTATCCTCCAATACGCCGCATGCACGCAGCACCAGCTTTCGTCCAATCACTGGCCGGCTTGCACCGTCAGCTTTTCCCTAGTCGAGGGCGGGTACCTGCAGCGCAGCACAAAGACAGACAAATTCAAACAAGTAAGGAGCGAGAAAGCCCCACAAAGGCAGATCCAATAACACACTTTATGCACATATGACCGACAGTCTCTCAGAATAAAGACAAACTATCATGCAAAGTGCCCCAATTACTGCAGAGGTTGTAGTTTCTGAAAACCTAAAATCTACTTATGCTAAATAGTAAATGTTCACACACCTACACATTCACACACTGATGGTAGAGGCTGCTGTGTAAAGAAACCATCAGAAGTAACTGATCTCATTCATACACATTCATACACCACTAATGAAGCAGTGGGAGCAATTCAGGGTTAAGTGTCTTCCCCAAGGACCCATTGGACATGTAGCTGCAGGAGCTGGGGGTTGAACCCTCGACCTTCCGGTTAGGAGACGACCCACTCTACCAACTGAGCCAGAGCCGTGATTTTCAGGGATTGTAATATGAAACCAGCTCACATGGACGATATTGTCATGATGATTTTTTTCAGACATCTGCATGAAGGTGCAGCTAACTATCTATCACAGATCAAACGTTTTACCTTGAACTAGCTGTTTTGACTTTTGTTTCAGGTGTTGATGAAGGACATCACCACGCCGGTTCCTCCTGAGGAGATGAAGAAATTGGTGCAGAGGTGTCTGGAAAAAGCAGCAAAGATCAACTACAGCCAGCTGATGGAGTATGCTCAGATCAAAGGTAGGAGGTTTGAGTTTAAAGGATTCATTCAGTGTTGCAGTAATCATGTCCGATTCTTCTGTTCTACTCGTGCAGTCTCGATGTACATAAACCTGTGACTTCATAAACACATATTACAAACAAGAGTGTACTGTTTATGATACCGCTAAACAATGTGATACCTGCTGTAATGTGTAGACACAACACTCACGCTGACACTCACTGTAACAGGCCATCACTCTGCATTAAAGAGCGGCACACAAAGGAGAGACAGGGGTCAGGGATGGGTGTGACCGCAGTGTCCTCGGTTTGAGTACAGTCGGGGCTTTTTTTCATGTCATTTTTAATGTCAGTGTCTCTGTGACAAAAGAAACTCATCAGATCCTCGGTGTTCATGTGGATCAGATCAGAACTCGTGCACACACCTGCTGTCTGTCCCGCAGACACATTTGAAGACTTGTGGTCAGCGTGTGTTTGAGGCCATGGCACCAATCCTTTGGAGTTCCCGGCCCCATCTCATTACTTACTTACTTACGTTAAATCCATTATTTTGTAAGCCTGGTCCTTAATTATTCTCACGTACTCTGGGGTCATAATGAGTAAAAAGCTACATGAATGCTTCAGCTTTCTAAACCAGCAGTGTAAAACACCAGCGTCCAACAGAAAGACGATCCACCTGATGGAGGCAGCAGTAGACCCTCAACGCTAAAGTTCTGCAGGGTAAAGCTGGGACAAACCTCAGGGACGACTTGTTCAAATATATGGCGCCACAGGAATGAGTCCTAAAACCCGGAAGTAAGTTAGCATTTGAGCGCTATTGGGGTCAATCTAAATATTAGGTTAATAAACAACTTATTAAGCTATGCTGATTAGTTTTATCAGAGATCTTCTGAGGCATAACGGTAGTGACGTCACAATCATCCGACCGTGGTGTAGTTCGCTATAGCATGGCGTTAGCTTTTTACTTCTGTCGGCTGCATTGCATGCTTTCATTTGTGAAGATTATCCCGCTGAACAAAACGCCTACGCACCAGCAACGTGTGTTTTCTGCAATGATCCAAAATCCAATTTAAAAATCCCGAATTCTCATTAGACACCATGGCGATGCTACTTCTGGGTTGGCCTACAAAAATACGTCATATGGTTTGTTCTCTATAGAGCAGGTATTATAGAAATAAGGCCTGCTTGTGCTGCTGCTTTCTTTTCATCTTAGCACAGAGTCTGATGTGTCCTTGGGCAAGACACATGACCCAAAGTTGCTCCCGCTGCTTCGTTGGCAGTGTATAAATATGTATGAATGGGATTAGTTACTTCTGATGGACTCTTTACACAGCAGCCTCTACCATCAGTGTGTGAATGTCTAGGTGTGACCTGCAGTGTAAAAGCGCTTTTGAGTAGTCAGAAGAGTAGAAGAGAACTAAACAAGCTCAAGTCCATTTACCATCACTGAACCTGTCGGTGACAAAAACAAGAAGTTCTTGTTGACATACTTTAAAAGGACTCACTCTCCCTTTAAGAATGACTTTGCTGCTTTTACAGCCCTTCCTGAGCTGTGGGCTGAAGACGTCTATTGAATCATGACCCAAACATTGTGTGCCTTTTACCAATTTAGATCTCATAATATGTAAACCTTTAAAGCCTTGAAATCCTTCCTACACAATAGAGTTTGAATGTGTCATTGTCCCAACTCGTTCAGACCTCGCTTACATTAAACTGTTTTATCAGACGCTTCTTTACAGGAGAACGACCTACATCCACACACCTTATACAGGTACCTTTGTAGACCCCCGGCCTCATCCTCCATTCTTTCTCTGAAGAGAAAAACCTTCACTCCCTGTGCTGAGACATCCACAGCTTCTTTACAGATGTTAGAGTGGGCACAAAGAGTCAGCAGAGGATTATGGGAAGCAAGGTCATGACTAACAGATTTGTGCATTGACTTTCTCGTGTTGTGATTTCTCTCCTGCAATGTTTCTTGCCCGTGTTTTCACCGTCAGTGGATGCTCACGCAGCTGCGGAGAAAAGACTGGAGGACATGTTGAGGTTGGGAGAGCTCTCCATCGAAGTCCTGCAGCAGAACGAGGAGCATCACTCCGAGGTATTAGCGCATACAATAAGACATGCAACGCCGGGCTTACTACAGTTTTATAATACCAAAAATAACAATAACACTATTTATTATAATTAAACAAATTATTTGAATCGGATCTGAGAAAAGAGTGGATCAGTGCGATGGGAGTTACTCTGCAGGTAAACAAACTGAACCATCAGGGGGCGATAAATGTGTCTTCAGTTCATATTTTTACCTTCAAATGTCGGATTCTCTCTCTCTCTCATCAAACTGTCATTCGTTGATGATTTATGAGATTGTCTGATCTAATCCATCATTTTCAGAGTAAACTTGGTCAAACGTTTGAGCATCAGCAGCTCGCTGTTGCTTTAAAATCAGTTATGACGAGAACAGTTTAACTCTGACTTTTTGTTTTTTTCTGTCGTCGTTACGCCTGCAGTCACTTAATCATTTCATTAACATTCTTGATCCCTTGTCAGCAGCCCTGTCCATTTTCCTCCCCTGCCTTTGTCGGCAGCGCTCTCGCTCAAGTGGCGAATGACACGGCTGCATCAACATCTGCGGCGGGGGAAACAATGAAAACAACGCCCACGGCCCATATGCACGCCTCAGCGTCTACGCCACGGTGTAAAACTGATCAATCATAGGTGTTAGGATGCGTCGGTGTGCTCCAAAGTGGCAGCGTGGCGCTCGGGCATCTGTTTCTGAGTTATTTATAAAATGCCGTGCTCTGCTCGTACCATGGCGACGCCTCAATCTCTGATCCCGAGCCTCCGTTGAGATTTTCTCTGCAAATGAACGGCTTCTTTGTCGGAGCGAATTCTCAGTCTGTCTTAAATTTAGAGATCATGCTTAATTATTTACTCATTTACAGTCGGCACCCAATCAACGCTCTCACTCTAACGTCCTCCTGTTGTTGTCGTGTCGTCAGAGTTTCATGACAGAGAAGTCAAAGTGAAGATGGATGCAGCTTTTTGTTTTTATCTTCCTCCACTCGTGTTTACACTGTGCTTTAAATACTGACGTCTTTTAAAAGCTGAAAGCAGCAGAGAAACAGAATTCTTTCCTTTTTGGCTCCGACAAATGAAGACAATAGAAATAGGGAAACGTCTTTTATTCCAGAAGTTAAACTTTACATGTGTCTTACTTACAGAGCATATCAGCCCTGTTGTATCCTCTCTGTCTGTTGGGGGCCCCTAGGCAAAAACCTATAGGGGGTCCCTCCAGCCAGTGTTCATCCCCATCATGTCTGCCAGTGTCCCAATGATTACTCCTCTTCCTCTTTTTGATCCTAAAAATTCTGAAGTTTCATAATGTATTCTGTGTGTGCATGTGTGTGTTAGTTTTCTTTGCTGTATTGCTCTTTTGTTTCATGAACAGCACTTTGGTCAGCTGTTGCTGTTTTTAAATGTGCTTGATTGATATGCGAGGCCTCAAGTCTGCACAAAATGCAACAAAGAGGGACACTGCTGCATCTTTGAATGTCTCATTTCACTTTAACAAACTCTTCGACAGCTCAGCTGACGAGTCCAAAGTAATATCCACCTTATGACATCACACATTGACCTTTGTTACAGTTCCTTTGACATCAGTTTGGGATCCTTAACCACTTCCTGTTTCTGTGCTTAACTTTATGTCCTAACCTTCCATCTACCAGAAGGGCCCTACTTTATTTCAAAATAAAAGCACAGTTGAGTTCTAACAGCAAATATAGTACTCTCAACTTAATACAGAACAAACATTTCAAAATAAAAGCCTCACTATTTTTATTATTAAATGCAAAATAAAGGAATTTCAAACATGATTAAAAATATTATAAATCGAGAAAACAATGTAACTTCACTAAATTTGCCCGGCCCTGCAATTTAGTCCCACAAACCTGTAAAAAAGAATTTATTGATGTAAAAAAGAATTTATTGATGCGATGGTTTCAAAGTCTAGTTCCCGACCTGGAGCCTGGCAGCCCCTGCAGCCCCCCCGTCTTTAGCACTTCAACATCACATTTAACTTGCTATTCTTTCTTTGACTGTCCTTTGTGTTTCTCTTTCTGTATCGCACCGTGGGAAGGGAGGAGAGGTAAGTTTGTCGAGCTGCTCGTGTTTGTGTTTGTGTCAAATCATAGCGTGAAGTGTCTGTTCTCTGTGTGTGTAATGTGAATAAGAGCTGAAAGGTCTGAATGAAAACTAGAGATGAATAACATTATGTATGTTTACAACAGTAAATAACTTCTCTGGTCATATTGAAAAACTATGTAATATGTTGTTATTCATCTTTAGCTTGTTTCATGAGCCTGCAGCAGGACATAAGAAGAAACACGGCGTACACAAGACACAAACATTATGAATAAGTCAGACAGAAAGCTTGTGAACATCTCATCTTTTCATTAACATTCTTTTCAGCAGACAATTGGAACAATTGACCGCTCAAATTTTCACAATTTTACACTTCACACTTTAAATTAGCTTTCATCTTCATTATCTCTATCAGACCTCTGTTTCAAGTCGCTACATTCACACCTCTGTGATGTTTCACCTTCAATCTGAATGTTAAAGAGGCATTACAGAGGTGGGACTGTTTTAACGCAGCCAGCAGTGAAGCACAGAGCTGTGTGTGTGTGCATGTCTGACTGTGTGTGTGTGTGTGTGTGTGTATATGGAGCTCCGGCTGTTCCGCGGTTCTGCAGCGGTGAAACTCAATGATGTGAATTCAAGGAGCCCGGAACACCAATGTTACACCCGACGTAGCATCAATATTAATGTACAAAGACTTGATGACGGGGCAGAGCTTTATACGACGCTTTTGCGAAACAAGCAGTCTGAAAAGGGTTAGTGACTGTCTTTGAGAAGTAAGGACGATTTAGCATTCATGTTTTAGTTTAGATAAAAACTGCATGATGAGCTCAACAGAACAACTAGGCCCCAAAATGACGTTTTTTTAAATATTTTGTCAGATTGTCAAACCTAACACTGCTGCAGCCTTCTCGTACCGACGCCTTTCACTCCTCCTTCGTTCAAACATAAAACCCCACAGCAGTTACACAACACTAGACCACATGCTGTTATTGCTTTTTCATTTCTCTTCTTTGCCTTCTCTCTGTCCAATCCGCTTTTACTCCTTCTACTTTATGTTTCTCTTTCCAACCCATCTCCCCATCGCTTTATGCTCAATATTCTTGCCTTCCTTCATATTTTTCAAACCTTTTATCTCCTTTATTTTTTCCTGTTTGATGATTATTTTCTCTACAGTCTTTCCTTCTTCACTTTTTAAAATGTTTACCTCTTTGCAGTCCACCTGAAGTTTCCCTTTTTTCTTCCCTAATTGTTGAATTTGCCTTTCTTCTCCTTCTTTCCTCCTTTTTTTTCTTGTTGAACTTTAATTGGTTTCCGTATGGCTTTACTCTTCACCCCTCTTATGTTGTTTCCTCCCTCCTTTCCTCCTTTTTCCTAACTTTCTTCTGCCATTTCTTATTCTACCCTACTTTCCTTTTAATTTTCTTCCCCTACTCATTTTTCTTATCCCAGCTTTCTTCTCGTCCTCCATCCTTCTGTCTCTAGTTTTCAACTCTCCTCTACGCCTCATTTACTGTTTTGTTCTTCATAATTGACTGTTGTTTCCTGTTCTCGCCCTGTCTTCTTTACATTCTCCTTCTCATCTAAATTCTTCCTCTTATTCTTTATATTTTATTGTCTTCATTATACTAATTTCCTACAAACTTTTCTTACATTTCTCATCCTTTCTTCTCCACACATCTCTTTTCCTTTAGTCGCTCTTGTTATCGCTGACTCCTTTCTGTCTTTGTCTCTCTTGACGGCCTGATATAAGCTTTTATTTTTCAATCATGTGTGATTGAATTGAACACCTTGACAAGAAAGAAGAAGAAAGAGTTGTAAGAGCAGAGGGATCTTCAGGCAGTTTGTTGTCAGTAACGGGAAACAGAAAAGGCGCGTTTGAAAGGACGAGTGAGAGTGGCTGCCATGTCATCTCTTGCTCTCTCTCTCTCTCCTGGTCTCACATCTCTTCCGCTTCTTCTATACAGATAATAACCTCAGTGCATCAGCGTGTGGGTAAAAGGCTGGTTGCACTTTTCTCTCAGGTGTCCTTGAGCAGCGGTCACCTGAGCAGGTCGACCTCTGTCTGCAGGAGAGGCTCACAGCCGACATGCTGCTGCACCTCTGAGCCTTTTTCTTTTGACCTTGTCTTTCAGATTAAAAGCATCCAATGTTCACAGCTACTAAAGATATATCACACCTGCCTCCACTTATTTAGATTTCTGCAGCTTTCAACAGGCGTACCTGCCACTCAGTCATCTAAGGGTATCAATCGAATAATCCGGTTTTTTTGGACTCCAGTACATGTCGAACTGCAGTTGTGCTCGTTGGCTACAGTAATAAATGAATAAAGTAAAGAACCTGATGAGCAGAGCTGACATCAACCGGTGTAGTTGTCCGTCCATTTAGAAACCAGAAGTGTCTTTAGAGCAGCCACGGCCAATCAGGCGTCGACTAGTCTTTGTTTACTTCAGGGATTTTAACTGCAAGAAATTCCAACAAATCAGAGGGCACTTTCCTCACACTTCACACATTTTGGTCTTTACACAGCACAGTGAGTTTGTCATAGAATAGAATAGAATTACTTTATTGATCCCAAACTGGGAAATTGTGGCGTTACAGCAGCAGGTTATCCAACACACAATATTAGCAAATAAACACAATATAATATTAAATACAAAGTAAATAAGCACTAAAAATATCAAAGATAAGAATGTGAATATATACAACCAGGATTTAACTTCGCATTACTAGTCTTAAATATGAAAAGATTAAATACAACATACTTTGCTGGAGGTAGATGTAAATGTGCAAAAACAGAGTTGTAAATGGACAGTGTTGACATAGGGAGCTGTCCAGAGCTGTGCAATCAGTCATTTTGGCCAGGATAGCTGCTGATGAGTGTTAAAACCAAATATCAGGCCTCTGGACCTCCAGAGACCTGTGACAAGTATTCCTAATAAACAACAGATGTAGTTTGTCATGAACTGAAGAACACTTTCAAAATGCCCTCTAAACTGATACAATATCTATCCGGGTGTCATGTTTGGTAACCTTTCAGCAAAGATAAACAGGTTAAGGAAAAAAAAGAGTAAGGACTCTCTGTTAGGTTGTGACTTATATCTCTGATCTCTCGCTGTCTCTCAGGCTTTCTCGTGGTGGCCAGATCTGATGGCTGAACACGCCGAGACCTTCCTGTCTCTTTACAGAGCGGACATGGACGCCGCTCTGCAGATCCAGCCTGTGGACTCCTGGGACAGCTTCCCACTCTTCCAGCTCCACAACAACTACCTACGGACAGACTGTGAGTCTCATCTTTCCTGCTTGATGAACACATTTCGTCACCCTTTGCTGTACCTGTGTTTTAAGCTTATCGTTAAAGGAAAATTCTGGTATTTTTTGTGAAACTGTGTCCAGTCTGACTATGGTCGATAACTACTGTAGTAGTAGAGCTTCAGCTGGTGTGACTTGTGCTCAGGAACGTGCAGAAGATTTTAAAGGGGCAGCGGCCTAAATTCCCTGCCGACCTCTGCAACCTCAGTCTTTTCAATCTAACCAGCACTTCAAAAAGTTTATTTAGTAAAAACTAAACCTCTGTTTGGGCTGCACAGTGCAGTGGTAAGTACTGTTGCCTCACAGCAAGGACGTTCCTGGTTCGACTCTAAATTGCCCGTAGGTGTGAATGTGAGTGTGGCTGGTTGTCTGTCTCTATCTATCAGCCCTGTGATGGACTGATAAACAGTCCAGGGTGTAACCCCACCTGTTGCCCAATGACGGCTGGGATCTGCCCTAGCATCCCTGCTTGCAAAAGGATTATAGATGAAGAAGCCATATCATCCCGGCTCCTGCTGTCCGCACATATACAGTCCCTTGTCTGTTTTTGACACACTTTCTTGTAAGCAACTTTGGCTCAGTGGTAGAGTCGGTCGTCTCTCTACTGGAAGGTCTGGGGTTCGATTCTCAGCTCCTGCAGTCCTTGGGAAAGACACTTAACCCCCAAGTTGCTCCCACTGCTTCCGCTGCGAAATATGAATGTGTATGAATGGGATTAGTTACTTCTGATGGACTCTTTACTCAGCGGCCTCTACCATCAGTGTGTGAATGTGTAGGTGTGACCTGCGGTGTAAAATCGCTTTGAGCAGTCAGAAGACTAGAAAAGAAATATACAAGCTCAAGTCCATTTACCAAGTACAGAAACCTGATCAGAAACAAAGTTTGCTGAAAGCAGGAACTCAATTTGTGAACAGTAAGTGATCTGAAGAAACAGTAGAGTCCTATACAGCTAACTTTTATTTTATTGCTTCTTAAACGGCTTCTTTCTTAGCAGTAAGTGACTCACTCTGCACATGTTCATACCTTAAATAATGCTAATTAACACTGATGACTCAACCGTGAAAACAAGCTTGTTAAAAAGACGAGGTTAACAGCACCTCCTACGCTCCATCAGAGAGGTAATTAACAGAGAGAGAGAGAGGAGGCTGGAGGGTGAGCTGACCTGTCTACCTGTGAGCAGGTACCTGCAGAGGATGTTAGCACCACGTCATCACTTCAACTTCTTCACTCTGCTCTGATTATTTCTCTATCTGTAGACGAGAAACAGAAGTCTGCAGGAGTTTGTTTTTCTTCTCTGCTGCTCAGGTGATAATTGATGATGAACTGTGGGGAACTGTGAGGTTTAAAGACCTTTTTTTTTTTTCAAAAGTTTAACAAACTTAATTTTTGGCCAACACACGAATAGCAATGGGACGAGTTTAAAGGCTGAATATGGAACATTCTGAATATAACTATTGCAAAAATCAAATATACCCTATTCTGAATTATGTTAGCGTAATGACACCCTAAAAAAAGAGAGTGAAGTCAAACTCCTTCTGGGTTTGTTGTTCTCAGCTCTTTTTACTGACGATGTATCCCGAGTATAATCTACATGAGGTTTTTATCACGGCAGCACATACAGCAACTGTACGGCAGCTTTGAGTGGCAGGTCACGCTTCCTTATGTCGCCCTCTCTGGTGTAACATCTGGTGTTTCCATGGCAACGATAAACATATTGTGTCTGTCATGGCGGCTCTGTCATGATGGCCACCACGACAAGGCACGTCCGGTTAAAACTATAAAAATAAAGGGGCCCAGATACGCTCTTGCACAGAGCAACACTTTTGAATTTATTTATTTATTTAATAGGGACAATGCAATTTAACATAGTTTCAATACATACATGAAACTTGTGTGCTGCATAAAGAGTATATAGCTATTGCTAATTTCCAACTCGTGTCCCTAGTTGGGCCCTCATAGACAATGGATGGGCTCGACAGCGACATGCAGCACCAACGCGTCCGATCTGAAAGGCCTTGAACGTGAATGAATCAAGGATTATTGATGGAAAATCTCCCCTTCTACAAAGAAAGAAAGAAACGAAGAGAAATGTTTTTTCTTATCCTACTGTTTAATGCTGGGGGGGTATATTCCTTCACATATTTTATAAATTTATAAAATGATATAAATACACCACCTGTATTCCTGTTGGAAACACTACAGGATGTAAACTGTAATCTAAGCGTTGTGATGCTGGTTGTAATGGTGTTTGTGTGTCAAGGTTCAATCGTTATGAGAATAAAATATGAAAACATAAAGGAGGACACTTTTGATGAAATGATAGCAAACAACATTCATGGCTGTTTTTCAGATAGTTCTTGTACTGCCTCTCGCTGTTCATATACTTTTTTTTTTCAGTCTCCTCTCATTGTCTCCTCTCTCCTTCAGCTCTTGTGTTTCTGTCTGGCAGCCAGCAGAGAATTTGGCGAGAAGCGAGGCGTTATTTAACATGTCTGGTGCCAAAGAACCTCAAATACAGTAACAGACAGGCAGGCAGAGAGACAGACAGCCCAAGGGCACCGATGGGAAACAAAAAACTCAGCGTTTCATTATGCGCAGAATCCACAAATTGCCTTTTTTGTCAGAAATCTTTTATATTTTTCCTCTAATTACCGTCGTCTGTTAATGCCGTAATTATTCCAAGTGTCACAACATCGGTCAACTTAAACTGGAGCATGATGAGGCATGAGACGGAGCTGAACACACAGAAGTAAGAGAAATCATTGTTTAAAGTGTTTGCACAAATGAGGCCATCACATTTTTCATAATTATGTCTGAAGCGAGAAGAAGAGATTTCATCACATGCTCTGGTGACGCCAGGGTGAAATGAAAACAGATTTGGAGGATTATATATAGTTAATTTACACGCTGCCTCCTCTGAGCATTCATACAATATGAATGACTTTCCTTATTGTTCGTGACATGTTTATTAAGTTTAATGATCAGCCAACTCTCGACAGTGAACACCGCTCGGCTGATCTCAAGTGACACGACTCGAGCACTTCCTCCAACGAGTGTATTATCTTTCTGATGTTCTGTACATTATTTAAATGCTCACTTGGTTTTCAGCATGTGAAGTGGAGTGATTGCGATGGAGGCTGGTTTTGGTCTCCGGAGGGGGAGAAAAGGCTAGTGTTAATCATGCTGGAGATGAGCGAGAGGAATTAAAACTAATGAAGCCCTAAGAGAGGGCCCTGCTCGCTTCTCTCTCTCTCTCTCTGTCTTTGTCTCTACTCACTGAGGACTGTTGTTTTCCCTCAGGACTTCGCTTTCTGTTTTACAGTCTCTTAAACCCACCAGGGGGGTTTTGGTTTGGCATACAGTGTCATGACCACCTGTGCACTCCCATTAATCCAAAAAGATCAGCCCCATTCACAGATCTATTGACCATTGTGAATGCAATTTTTACTGAAAGAGATAAGTTAAGTGTTGACATTATTGGAGAAAAGTTTATTAATGATAGCAATCTTGATGAAGTTTCCCTTCTTTCAGCTCACCTGTGCAATGGACCCTTCCACAAACACCTACAGGACCTGTACGTGCCCCTAGTGGTCCGCTACATCGACCTGATGGAGTCGTCCATCGCTCAGTCCATCCACAGAGGCTTCGAGCAGGAGACCTGGCAGTCTGTAAAGTAAGACTCAGCCTATCTGTTCTACACCTTCATGAGTGAGAAGCATTCGACTAGCGTTAGCTTCGCACTCTGTGTGCTCTGCATGGCTGCTTGTCTCCAAACACTATTTATAGGTTCTAAAAAGTTGTTAAAATAAAGAGGAGACAATAACTTATTTTGTTGGTGTGAACTTCAACAATGTCTCTTTGAACTCAGTAGTGATTTAGCGGTGTGCAGTTTAGAAGACCAACCCATTGTGAGATGATGGTTTGACCAAATGTCCCCCCAGGATTAATAAAGTATTTATGATTCTGACAATCAACAATTCTTCTCTTCATTCAGTGGAATTATTTCCCCAAGGATAGCAAGAGAAGAGTTTTGAGTCTAACTCTGGGTCTTTTCTTCTGCCAAAGGTATTGCTGTAAAATTTTATTCAACATGAAATGGTGAATTTTTTTTTTTTTAAAGATTTATTTTGGGCTTTTGTGACTTTAATGGAGAGACAGGACAGTGGACAGAGTCGGAAACCAGGGAGAGAGAGTGGGGAACGAAATGCGGGAAAGAGGCCACGGGCGGGATGTGAACCCGGGCCGCCCGCCTGAGACGACAGCCCTAACCATTGCGAAATGGTGAAGTTTTTAATGCAAGTTCAATTGAATCCACATTTAACAATCGAAGTGCTTAGATTACACTCCTTTAAAATGGGCACCTACTTTAAATCTTATATGACTCCATTCTCAGAGCACAGTGTCACACAGTCCAACAGATAATTTTCCTATCCAGTTTACACTTTGTATTGATAGAAAATTAACATGCACCATTCCATCTATCATGGGCATGCGGGTCTTAATAAATGGTGCCTTTTTTCAGAGCCGCGGGTCCTAATTGTGGCTTAATATTTTGTGCCATGTAACGTTTTAGGCAGACCCCAAATTCGACTTCATCTTGAACTAAAAGCTTTAAACTGTAGATCAGTTAAATAGAAACAAAATTATTTATTCAGTATCTTCATTATCTGCTGTTACATGTGAAATTACCTTATATATATCTATGTCATACCACTCCATCCCCTCCCACTCTGTATTGGATTGAAACAAACACAGTCCACACATTTAGGTCATTTTCATCTCTTTTTTTTTTTTTTAAACTTTAGTGTAAGTTATTTGTCAAGATATTTTATCATCATCTCAGCTTAAGATGATCTTCAATCATCTTCAGGTTCAACTTCTCTTTCACAGAAAGCTGCAGAGAGAAAAAAGAGAGAGAGAATTCAGTTTTGTCTTAAATCACAGTCTCCATTTCAATGTTTAGTCTGACAGGTTTAAAGGGGGACGCACTATTCTTGGGGTTGTAGTAGAAGTCAGGATCCCATGAGAAACCAAGACATCTTGCTTGCTTCTTGAAGCGCTCCAGCTGCGTGGCCTTGACAGTCGTCTCTTTGGCTGGAAACAAAAATTAGTAAGTAAGTAAGTAAAGTGAAATGAAGAAATCTTTCAGATTTAAAGAAGTTATTTTCTCTCTAACTTGTTCCTCTTACCCATCAGGTAAACAGCCCGATATTGTTTGACTTCATGAATGGTTGTGGGGTTGGTGATGTTCATGATGTGAAGTGCATTGTTGGTGTTTATGCTGTCGACGGTGTAGACCAGACAGTCCTCACAGGTTGGCAAAGAACGATACGTGCAGGTGAAGTTGGACTCTGACGACATAAAGTAAAAGAAAATCAAGACAACAGCAGATTTATATGAAGCAGACACCGTTTAGCTAGCTACGAGTCTCAAATACAGATGGATAATTTGACCAGAACTGATGAAGTTCAGACTACTAGACAAACTCTTTCATTCATAACTTCTAACATTCACTGACTAAAAGAACAAACATTTACAAGCTCCAGTGTTATGTAAAAACAGGCGACTTACTTGAGACTACTGCAGTGTTGGTCACAATAGCGACAGGGGAAGATGCGTACTTGCAATATCCAGGACTGTGAAAAACGAGAAAAGGAAAGGCAACTTTATGTATGTCATTGGGAGTTGAAGACCATGTCCAGGACTGGAGTTTTCAACATGCTTGGAGAGGAATCTCCTTGGTAGTAATAACAGGCCTAGCCTAGCAAAGATGTGCATCAAAGGATGCGTCTCAGCTGTTGTTTGTTGCCATTGATTAGAGAGTATTTTTCTCAGAGGGATAATAGAGAGTGTCATCTGCATAGCGGTTGATTTGGGTGGATGATTAGGAACTAGGTGAACCTGAAACAGCTTATCAACAAAGATGGTGACCATCTTTAGCTGGTTTTAATGTGTTTGAGGGAGATTTCTTTCCTCTCTTTGCTTATTTCAATCATGATGTTTGATATTTGTACATGTAATGTTGCATTGTTAGATACTCACTGTCTGATCCCGATACTCTCAACAAAATCTCTGGGGCTCGATGGTGATGGAGAGAATTTAATCCACATGCTCTTGGCTGACCTCTTCAAGACTTTAAATGGTTCACTATCAATGAAACCCATGATGTAGTTCCACCTTCCATCGTAACTCTGTAGACAAAAATAAAGTCAGAAGTAGACACATCCTTCCACCAAATAATAGAAAAATTGCGATAGTGGTATTGAACAAGTGTCTGGCCGTTAAGAGGCCTCAATAATCATATCAAGATCTATAAAAAAGAAACCTTTCTCATCCTTAAGGCCAATGCTAACCAAGAGACCCAGGTGGGAATTGAAAGAAAACTTACCGGTGTAAAAGTAGAAAAAGGTTCGACCAAGGGTTGGCATTCTTCAGGAGTCAGAGCCGAGCAGCTCTGAAACAACCCCACCGCCAGAAGAAGACTGCTGAACCACAGATACATGATGCTGCAGATGGTTAGCTTCAGAGTAGAACTGGAAGGAAACACCAAGAAGGTAGTTTTCTCAGTGAAGCTGAATGATGAGCATCAGAGAGCCACTCAGCTTATATAGAAGCTGCTCATGGAACTATTCCAAGTGTTTGGGCTTTTTCAATCTATTTGTCAATCCACTTATTTACACTCAAGGGTTATAAAAGGAGATAACAGGATGTTAAGAGTTTCAGGATTTCTAGGAACGCTGGCATCAACATTTTCAAAATTGTTGACTTGTCCTAAGCTGCCCACGATCCTCAAATGCACAGAGGGTACAGTTCATCGCAGGACGGTTGGCTGTCTACCAAAAACAAGCTGACTCATTGCATGAACTCCTATTTGAATGGTACAAAATCCAACACTCCATCCATTACTGGACCGCAGATTCTGTATTCAGGTCAGAAGTCACAACAAATGGAAGTTAGTGAGAACATTACTTCTTTAAAAATGGTGTTGCTTGAGGAACATGGAGGTTAATTTCTTAAGGTTACTCCCAATAGACTTAAGCGAGATCTCGAAATGGCTTTCCAAGAGAAACACTGCCAGTCCTGGATTCCCCTTTTAACCCAGTTCAGTTTTTAGTACATTTTTCTTAATTGAGCTCATGACAAGTCTAATGGTCCAGACTTACAAATTATGATAGCTACATGTTGTATGTAGCTACATGTATAGCAAAGTGGCTAACCAGTTCAGCAAGCTAAAATTTGGTAGTTGTTTGGCTGATATTGCCAACAAATATTAGTTATCCTCTGTACTGCTGTTAGAAGTTCCCTTTGAATGCTTCTTTTGTTTTCTTTAAGAACAGGTTTTTACAAATAACAATGAAAATCAGTAGGATAGAACTGGAGCGACACAACAGAAGCTTAAAAGTCTTTTGGCTTTGGTTTGTTAAAACTATTTATAGAGTTGTATACACTTTTTTATGTTCAGTGGTTTACATCTTTGCCCAGAGTTCAGTAAATGACATTTCACTTCAACCTGGTTTCATTTGGAGTTAAGATGAGATTCCAGGTGCTGTGCTTCTAGGATTTCTAGGAACACTGTTAGCTTTGTGTAACATTTACAGATTTGTTGACTTGTCCTCGATTGCCAATGATGCAAACGTAGAGAGTTCATCATCTGACTGCCAACCTTCTGGCACAAACACAGTCACCTTACATCCACCTTGACCCAAATGCATTTTAATTTAAAGTATGCTAAATGATCTGTCTTCAGTGCACCCATGGTTGGTCAAATAACTATCACTGGATCACATTGATACTAAAGAAAACTCCTGAAACATAATTTTTGTCTGACTGCTTTGTAAATATATTTGTGATGGCCTTTTTGTTCAGATAAGCGTAATGATTCTTATTGGTAATGTTAGAGTTTCTTTTTTGACCTAAGTTTATTATTTTGTCATAATAACACATTGATCACGTACACTCTTGAACAGTCCTTGACAACAAAGCTCCTCTATAATTTTTCACTTTATGAACATCACTCCTTAAGTCCATTGTTCCACTGTAGGAGGTTGCTTTTGCATCCAGCAGAAAGCTATTATTTTACTTCCAATCATCAATAACATTTTGAAGATATACAGTTTTTCACCAGTTTTACAGTTTCTGCTTCAGTATAACTACCATCCTGCTGCTGTTACTACACCTGAATGCACAGTATCCTCCATCCCCTCTCTCGCTGTATTGGATTAAAACAAACGCAGTCCACACATTTAGGTCATTTTTTCATGGCTTTATTATCACAATTTTAGATTAAGTTATTTGTCAAGAAAGCTTTTATTTTCTTCAGCTTAAGATGGTTTTCAATCATGGCAATGTTCGTGTACATCTTCATTTTCAACGCCTCTTTCCCAGAAAGCTGCAGAGAGAAAAAAGACGGGAAAAATTTCAGTTTTGTCTTAAATCACAGTCTCCATTTCAATGTTTAGTCTGACAGGTTTAAAGGGGGACGCACTATTCTTGGGGTTGTAGTAGAAGTCTGGTTTCCATGTGAAACCAAGACATCTTGCTTGCTTCGTGAAACGCTCCAGCTCTGAGGCCTTGACAGTAGTCTCTTTGGCTGGAAACAAAAATTAAATAGTGAAGAAATGTTTCAGATATAAGAAGTTATTTTCTCTCTGTCTTGTTCCTCTTACCCATCAG